ATCTAAGGCACTCTCCTCTCTTTAGTAATTGCTGTTGTGATTTTTCCAGGATTCTTTTGAGATCCCCAGGGATCAGAGTTCTAGAAATGGAGATATTGAAATGGGAAATCAGAGGCCAATGAATTCTGAACTTGGCCTGGATCAATTTTTTAAGCAGGTAGCTACAAACTCTTGTTACTCTTCTTAAATGCACAGGGTATATAATTGATGTTCCTTGCTTATTGCTTGTGTCATTCTTTCTTCTTCTTTTTTTTTTTTTTTCACCAGTTTCTTGTGTTGTAGAGAACTAATAATTAGTCATTATTTTGAGTTGAACTTTTCAAGCTTTCCTCTTTCAAAAACCTTTCTTCTCTTTTCTTTTTTTTGCAAGGTTCAAGACATTGAGAAACAATATGATAAGTTGAACAAGCTCCTCAAAAAGCTTCAGGTATGATTTTTTTACATCCGCTGATCTCCTTTTATTAAGTTTATATGTGCCATGTTTCCCTTGGTCACAAAATGGTACTTCTGAGAAGCTTTAAATTGACATTTAGCTACTTGACATAGTCCATTATATTGTTGCATTTGAAATAGTTTTAGTAGTGGATTGGATGTAATGGATTTTAGGAAGCCAAATCTGCATCCAATCCTCCAGTGGCAGAGGTTTGCATCCCATCCACTTTTGGCAGATGTAGATTGGATGGGAGCAGATTTGGCGGATCCATACTCACCCCTAGTACTGATAACGATTATAGAGAATAGTTCTTTTAATGTACAGAATAGTATTCAAACCAGATATGACTTGATCATTGAAAGTAAAATTTCAAATTCTCTCTGAAATGCTACTGTCAGGATGCTCATGAGGAATCAAAGGCAGTAACAAAGGCTTCCTCTATGAAAGGTACTCGCACTGCTTGTTCTTTAATGATCTAAGAAGTGCTGTAAAAATTGAGTTTTCTGTGATTTTCTTAAGTATTTTTAATGTGCAATATAGACTGGACAGTGTTTGCTTATTATCATGAAGAATAAGAATAGTCCGAGACCATTATTTCAAAAACCAGAAAATTTTTAAAGATTGGCCCCTGTTCCTAATTTGGTACACATCACTCTCCCAATAAATCTCAGCAGACTTTTGTAGCATTATGTGTATAAAGTAATACCCTTAAGCTTCTGAATGAAAAACGGTTTTATAAATGCTAAACATTATAGGTCACACTGGTTAAATTTATTTCCTTGCCATGTAAAAGTCTTATGTTTTTGTATTTTGAATTTGTTTGTTATTGTTTTACTTAGTCATTCATGAATCATACTGGCATAATCTTCAGGAATAAAGCAGCGAATGGAAAAAGATGTAGATGAAGTTGGAAAAATTGCTAGGCTCATAAAATCAAAAATTGAGGAGCTTGACAAAGATGTAAGCAAGCAGTTGCTGATATCTAACTTTATTTTAGTCCTTTGATTTCCTATGTTGTGATTGTTTGTATTTATATCTCTCCAGAATTTAGCCAACAGAAATAGACCTGGATGTGGCAAAGGATCAGCTGCTGACAGATCACGAACTGCAACGACAGTGTAATTTACTATGTTCATTTTTTTTTTTTAATTTTTTTTTTTTTTTTAAATTTAGTTTTTTTGAACTTGTTGGTAGTTATTGTTTGTGAGTTCTCTATAATCAAACTTATTTTGTGTGGTGTATGATTGTATATTGCCAAATAGCTTCCATGTTGGAATTTTGTTTTGGAGCAGCCTATGTCATTGAATTGTTACATTGCATGGGAAATCATGCTAATATGGGTAATATAGGCTCACCAATTTTTGAGGCAATGAGGAGGTTGGCTGAGGCCTTATCATTTCCTTGTTTAATTTTGCATATTCATATGTATATACAGTCTAGGATATGCCAGCAATGTGAAGACAATGGAAAACTGTTGCTTCTTCCTAATTTGCATTGAGATGACTTTTCTTTTTGTGGGAATATTGATTTTTTTATCGTACATGCATGTGTCTTGCTTTTGGTGCAACTGTAGTCTGTAATGATTAAGTTGTGCTAATTAGTGGCATGTATAAGATTGCATGGAAGTCTGAGAGCTGTAAATGTCATTAATTCAAGTGTCTGAAGAGGAGCTAGACTATAACCAGATTTAGGCATTTAGCTGCCCATAGTTCTGTTAATGGGCTTTGCAAAGGGACCTGGCCACTTCAATCTGGATACAAGCTTTATCCTTCTCTTCCAATCTTTGCAGGCTTTTGATCTAATTAATCTAAAGGTGTTTATATTAATATTTTTTATTGCAGTGCCTTGAAAAAAAAGTTGAAAGACAAGATGGCTGAATTTCAGGTATTTCCGGTGAATTGAAATGGGATTTTCCTGCTTTCTTATGCTTTTCTTAGTTGTAATTGATCAACATTGCAGACTTTAAGGGAAAGCATCCACCAAGAATATCGCGAGGTTGTTGAGAGGCGTGTATTCACAGGTTTAAGAATTTCCTTATTTGTTCCTTCTGCGTCAGTTTTTTATGTGTTCGTAAGTTGTAACCAATAGTAATGACCTCTTGGTGTCTGTCTAACCTTTTACTACTTGACAGTTACTGGGGCTAGAGCTGATGAAGAGGTGAGTAGTAGTTCTTGTGATTTTCTATGACTGATCTCTTTTGTCCACATTGTCTGATTCACCACACCCCCCTATTCTACTTAGACAATTGATAGGCTGATAGAGACTGGGGACAGTGAACAAATATTCCAGAAAGCAATTCGGGAACAAGGACGAGGACAGGTATGCTTACCCTGCACCTATATTTTCTATCCATTTATGTTCCTTTGCCCTTCTATGTAATTTGAATTGAATTATTGGATGTCATCTCTTATGAAAAGTTGATTCTATAAAGAACATAAGCTGAATGGCACTAGAATTTATGATAATCCGGTTAACTTGTATCTATCTTCTTTGTGTTGTGTTTTTTAGGTTATGGACACCCTTGCAGAAATTCAAGAACGGCATGATGCAGTGAGAGAATTAGAAAGGAAACTATTAGAGTTGCAACAGGTATCTTTAACCTCGGAAATTGATTTTAAAACTTTGTACAGGTATCTTGGCATGGAATGCTAGAGTTTAATAGAATACTTGTGAATTTGAAGAAAACGGTTTCATTTTTTTTTTTTTTTTTTTTTTTTTTTACTCTAATCATCACATTCTGTTATACAGATATTCATGGACATGGCAGTGTTGGTTGATGCTCAAGGGGACATGCTTGATAATATAGAATCACAGGTAGTTGCAACTCATTACTTCTCCTCCCAAAGTCCTGGCATCATAACAATTTGTGTGTGTGTGTGCGCGCGCGCGTGTGTGTGAGAGAGAGAGAGAGAGAGAGAAAGTAGAGAGTTATTTGATGAATTGAATTAAGTTTCATCTTTATTCTCACCTTGTGGTGCCCCAATATTAGGTTTCTACTGCGGTTGATCACGTGCAGTCGGGGAATGTTGCGTTACAGAAGGCCAAGAAATTACAAAGAAATTCCAGAAAATGGATGTGCATAGCTATCATTATCCTCCTTATAATTGTTGCAATCGTTGTTGTTGGCGTGCTCAAGCCGTGGAACAGCAACAAGGGCGCGTAGTGTCTTCTACCATTATGTACGCAATGTATAAATTTAACACAGTTTTAGTGTAATTCCATTACTACTGTCAAAATTTTTCCATTGATTTCTCTGCTGCTTGGGCTTGCCTGTTCCTTTGAAGGTTTGACTAAACTTTGATTGAAATGTTTACTTGGGTGATATGATGCCGGCTACTGTCTATAAATGTTGTATTCGGGTTGGTTGCACTTTATATCTAAACCATTTTTCTACAGTTTCAGAAAATTTATAGAGTACTATTAAAGCATTATACAATGAAAGCAGTTCTTTGTGTGTGTGCTTAAAGCCATATGATTTACAGTACTGTTTGCATTGCCCTATCAACTATAAAGTGAAACCTATTTCTCCTGAAAGTTTTCAAATAGCAATGTCTCCAAGTCAAATGTGAAAGTTTTCACCAAGTCTGTAAAGGTTTTTATGATGAATGGATTGTTTTGCAGCAATTAATCTCATCCCTAAAGCTCTCCATCCAATGTCATTGTTTACTTATCATCCTCAAAGCATAATATATTGGTATTTTAGCCTAAGACATTACAGGCTTTTTGGTGAAATATATCTAGTAACAATTTATATCATCACCTTTAAATTTGGCCTTCATTACTAAATGTTTATACTTTATGACAATTATTCGATTGAGTTAATTCCAGCAATAGTCCTCCGATTATAGTGATTTTCCAAAATTAGTTCCCGACTTTTAATTTGGACACTTTAGGTCCCTTGACTTTCAATTTATTTCTAATTGAGGTCCTTTCGTTAGAATACGGTTCATTAGACTTTAAATGAAGGGGTAAACTCACCTTTTCACATGCCTATGTATTATTCTTCGTATTTCTCCCTTCGTATTTCGCTGTTATACCTTGTAAACATCTCAATAATAGAGGAACGCACACACGGGTAGTCAGCAAATGGGGAACGACGAGGAACATTTTAGGGTTTCGACTAAGATTATCTTCATATATATCGCGTATACAATGGAGAAATACTAAGAATAATACATAGGCAGGTGAAATGATGAGTTTACCCCTTCATTTAAAACTCAATTAACCGTATTCTGACGAAAGGACCTTAATTGGAAAGAAATTGAAAGTCAAAGGACCTAAAGTATCCAAATTAAAAGTCAATGACTAATTTTGGAAAATCAATATAGTCGGAGGACCATTACTGAAATTAACGCTATTCGATTCGATTCGTTTATATATATATATATATATATATATATATATATATATATATATATATATATATATATATATATATATATATAAAGAAGTCACTAATTGACTTTTTTTTTTTTGAAAATTTTCCATGCGGTATATTAATGAATAAACTGAATGATAGAGTCAGGAGGGACAGAGTCCCAATACATAGCTTGGTCCTGATTGAAAGCTAAAGAAGCTAAAGTATGAGCATGTAAATTTAAACTTCTCGAAATATAACTCAGCGAGCATCTCGTAAATAACGATATAGCAGTCCTACACTGGTCTACAATGATCCCAAGGTAGGAGTAGTTAGCCGTGTGGCTTGTACGCATCATATTTTGTAATTCCATGCAGTCCGTCAACATGTCCACCTCCACGATGTCCCGATTCCTAAGCCAAGAGAGCGCCTCCTTACAGGCCAGTGCTTCGGCCATAGTAGCCGAGAAAGCACCCGCGAGCCGTCCATTCATTGCCGCAACAAACGATCCATGTTGTGAGACGAGAACTACACCATAGGATGCTTCTCCCGTATCCGGCCTGAAACCCGCGTCTACGTAGCAGTGAGGTACACCGCCAGTGGCTTGACTGATCACGGCAGTAAGTGTCCGTGCCGACAGGCCGGGCTGCGCACGTCGGTATGCCTGCATGGCCGCCACCGCTCGATTCCATGTGTCCGTCGGTCTTGGGAGGGCGTGGTCCCATACCGCCTTGTTGCGGGTACTCCAAATAGCATATAATATCGCCACTGCTAGGCCACACTGTTCCTCTGTCAAGACATTAAAAATTCCCATAAGCCATGTCGGCAATGAATTAGTATGTATATTGGTAACCGGCAACCCCGACATACCCCACACTAATTTTGAATAGTCACACTCGAGTAACGCATGCATGATGTTCTCATGCGCCCCTTGGCACATTGGGCACAGCAGATCAATCTCAACTCGTCGCATTATTAGATTGTCCGTAGTAGGGAGGATACCACAGACTGCTTTCCACAAAAAGGTCTTCCATTTGGGTGGCACTTTCAATTTCCACATAGTAACCCATTTATCAAAATCACCTGGGTTATGCACATAATCCCCCTTAATCTGCCTATAGGCATTTTTAACTGAATATATTCCATTCATCTCCCCCTTCCAGTACCAAGTGTCTTCATATTCGGGGCTAACAGGGATCATTAAAATACGTGTGACATCCTCAGGAATAAATAAATCAGTCAGAATATGTGGATCCCAGGTATTAGTTTGTTGGTCAATCAATCCTGCTACATGGGCATGTCGCAACTCCTGGGGCATTATTGTTTGGACCAACGGACTGGGATTATCTGGTAGCCAGGGATGCCCCCATATTAATGTTTTTTGTACATTCCCTACACGCCTCCTTACCCCTGAACAAACCATTCCGTGCGCAGCCATTATACTTCTCCAGCAAAAACTTGGGCAATTTCCTATGGTAGCATCAACAAAAGATGTATTCGGGTAATACCTGGCTTTATATATTCTTGCCACCAAAGTGCCGGGGTTTGTGAGAAAACGCCATGCCTGTTTTCCCAGCATTGCCAAATTAAAAGCTCGTAGGTCTTTAAATCCCAGACCCCCATACTTCTTAGGGATGCATAATTTATCCCAAAGCCTTCCAATGTATTTTCCTCTCCGTTCCAGATCCCCACCAATACCTGTTCATGGTCCTCTCTATTGATGTGCAAACTGTCTCAGGTAACAAAAAAACACTCATTGAAAAGGTTGGCATAGATTGTGCCACACTTTTCAAAAGTACTTCCTTACCAGCCTGAGAAAGCAACTTTTTACTCCAGGAACCAATTCTCTGCCTGATTTTATCCTCCACATAGGAAAAAATAGCTCTCTTATTTCTGCCTACAAAAGATGGGAGTCCCAAATATTTCCCAAAATTAGCCGCCTGACTTACCCCTAAAACTGCCGCCACCTCCCCCCTTATTTCCTCCTGGGTGTTTCTGCTGAAACAAATATTTGACTTGTCATAATTCACTTTTTGGCCAGACAACCTCTCATATTGGTGTAAGCATTGTTTAATTACACCAGCTTCCTCTATATTAGCTTTGAAAAAAAGCAGGCTATCATCTGCAAAAAATAGATGGGACACCGCCGGTGCCCCTCTTGCCACCCTACAGCCATGGATCACCCCATCCAACTGCGCTTTCTGTAACAACATGGAGAGCCCCTCTGCACAAATAATAAACAAGTAGGGAGATAGAGGGTCCCCCTGCCTGAGACCTCGTGTAGGTACTATCTGTCCACCTGCCACTCCGTTTACCATAATCGTATACCTCACAGTTGTGACACAATGCATTATAAGGGTAACCCACCGCTGATCGAAACCCATAGCGCACATCATTCTCTGCAGAAAAGACCACTCCATCCTGTCATAAGCCTTTGACATGTCAAGCTTTAAAACACTCCATCCTACCTGCCCACATTGCTTTCTATTTAAATAATGCCCCACTTCTGCTGCAACAAGAATATTATCTGTGATCAGGCGGCCCGGGATAAACGCACTTTGAGACTCCGAGATCAAGTTTCCCATAAGTGGCTTCATCCTATTCGTTATCATCTTCGCCATTACCCTATAAATAACATTGCTGAGAGCAATCGGTCTCATATCAGCCACCCTCTCCGGCATCGCCTTCTTTGGGATTAAAACAATGTTTGTATCATTTATACCATCCGGAAGATTGCCTGTATTCAAACATGATATTATAAAATCAGACACATCCCCCCCTACTACATCCCAGAAGTGCTGGTAGAAGCCTGGATTCATTCCATCCAGGCCAGGCGCTTTGTCAGGATACATAGAATATACTGCCTCTTTCACATCCTCCGGTACAAACGGGCGCAACAAAGATTCATTCTGAGCATGCGTTACTCGCGGGACAAAATTATCAATCATAGCATCATCAAAAACAGTACTCTCAGTTGTAAAAATTTGTTGAAAATATTCAAGGATAACAGAGCACATATCATTCCCCTCGACCCACACACCATCATTATTCATAATTCTATTCACAGTATTCTTTTTCTTACGAGCAGAAGCATACCTGTGATAGAATCTCGTATTCGCATCTGCATTGCGAAGCCAGTGCTGCTTGGCCCGCTGTCTCCAGAACACATCCTCCTGCGCCTCCAGCTGGGTTAAGAGAACATCAACTTGGTGAAACTCAGCCAATGCGGCCGGGTCTCTCCTGTTCATGAGCAGTTCCAGTCTCTTTTTCAACTGCCCAATACGCTCTCCAAACTTATGAAATTTCTCTCCACCCCACCTCATCAACCTCTCCCCACACCGCTGCTGACAATTCAGCAACCCCTCAACCCTCCCTCCCTGCCACGCCGTAGTCACCACCTCTCTACACCCCTCATCCTGGAGCCATGCCATCTCAAATCTAAATCGTCTTGCAAATCTCCCCCCTCGGATGCGTGGCGCATCTATACTAAGGAAAAGTGCTGAGTGATTTGAAGGTCGGGGTATGATGTTTTCCACATCCACATGATTATTTAGTCCACACCAGTCCGCTGTGGCTAAAACTTTGTCCAGTCTCTCCTCAATCCAATTTTCCGTCCCTCTACTCTTCTCCCAGGTAAACTGATGGCCTCGCATAGGCAACTGTATCAAGCCACAAACATCTAGGGCCTCCCCAAAGCCTCGTAAGAGGTGATTTGGGTAAGGATTCCCTCCTCTCTTCTCATACTGAAACAGAAGATTATTAAAATCCCCTATGAGTACCCAGGGTAAAACAGATTTAGGTTTCAATCTCTCCAGCAAACTCCAGGACTCCGACCTCCTACTACGATCCCATTGCCCATAGAAACAAGTCATCCGCCACTGATTCCCGTTCTAAGCCCTTACCTCCACATCCACAAAATGTTTAGAATATCCCAACAACGATGCTGAGTTATTCTTCCTCCAAAGTAATGCCATACCACCACTCCTCCCGTCATTGTCTACATAGAACAAACCCTCATAACCGATCGTGACACGGAGCCTTTCTGCATGTATCCGTGCCACCATAGTCTCCATCAAAAATACAAATTCAGGCTTCTTCCGGGACACAATGTCCACTATCTGTCGAACTGTTCGTGGGTTGCCCAAGCCACGACAGTTCTAGCTCAGCGTACTCATGAGGACGGGCGGGGCTGAGATACAGCTCCCGCCATACACAAGTTTTTTGAAACATCGTTCATTGTCACATCCTCACCCTCCCTCCCCTCACACCCCTGCTGTCCCTCCCTGCGGCGTTTCCCGGTTGCCACCACCTCCCCTCCATCCGACACCCCAATTCCCGAAACCCCCTCCTCACCCTCACCTTCCGCCAACGTTCCCTGAACACCCTCCCCACCCGCCGACCGATTCTCCGGCATCGGTAACGGTCTCCCCCCTACTGGAATAAGCTAGGGGTGTAAACGAGCCGAGCCGAGCCCGAGCCTGGGTATGCTCATGCTCGTGCTCGTTAATGATAGCACTGCTCGAGCTCGAGCTTGAGCTCGTTCGAGCTAGTGAACTGATGCTCGAACTCGAGCTCGGCAATTGTCGAGCTACTCGAGCTCGAGTTTAGGCTCGAATTCGAGATCGAGTTTAGGCTTGAATTCGAGATCGAGTTTAGGCTCGAATTTGAGATCGAGTTTAGACTCGAATTTGAGCTCAATTTTGATCTCGAATTTGACCTGTTTGATTTAAAATTTAAACTACTTTGTTTTATGACTTTTATCCATACATAATTATTAAAGTATTTTAATTTCCCTCCCCTAACTATTATTTTTATATACTAAATATAATATAATTATATTATATATTATATATTATATAATATATTATAAAGCTCGCGAGCGGCTCGTCGAGCCGCGAGCCTACAATACCTAAGCTCGGTTCGTGCTCATTTAATCCACGAGCTGCTCGAGCTCGAGCCGAGCTCGATTTTGACCGAGTTCGAGCCGAGCGTTGACCGAACCGCTCACGAGCGACTCGCGAGCGGCTCGGCTCATTTACACCCCTAGAATAAGCCAGCTCCCACCCACCCCTCTCGCAGCACCCCTTCCACCCCCCGCCCTCAACTCCACTCCATACCGAAACTCACTCTCCGGAACCCGACTTTCCCTTGCTTTCAAACAAAAGGTGTGAACATGCCCCATTAGCCCACAGAAGAAACAGAACTTGTGAAGTCGTTCATACTTAAAGGACACCCAACACGTAGTCCTATCCCTCTTAACCAGCTTCATACCCCTCCTCAATGGCTTACCAACCGCAATTGAGACCCGAATGCGATAAAAAGTTAACCAGGGAGCCCCAACAAACCTATCATCATGTTTCACGAAAGTACCAATGAACTTACCGACCTGCTCAAGAACACTTTGCGATGTGTAGCCCATTGGTAATCCATGCAGCTGAACCCACATGTCTACCGTATCCAGAGGGACATCACACGAATTCATCCCCCCCTGAACCTCACGGCAAACCAGCGTATTGTTTTCAAAAGCCCATGGTCCCCCTTCCAAGACATACGCAACATCCGTGTCGTGAAAGAACACAAACAAAAATAGCCCCGGTTGGACTTCCGTTATCTGAACCCCTCTTACCGGTTGCCACACAGAAGCCATTACATTCCTCATATACTCAAGCTTGACAACTTTCGCCGTCAAGAAACGGCCTACAACCGCCCATGACGCCTCACCATCTACCGCAACCTCGCCCACCCCGTCACCCTCCGGGACAAACTCGTCCCCGTCCTCCTCTAACGCCATATCAGCCCATCTTGCCGTGAGTCTCTCCACCATCCCAGCCGACTGCCCTGCTGCTACCTGCTCGTCATTCCGTTCATCCATCGATGTTGAAACGCCGGCGATCGCCGGGAGAGATGAGCCGAACTGCTTCGAAAAACCCTAGAAACCCTAGAAATTGAGAGAAAACCCTAGGAACCCTAGAGAGAGATTCTTTATAGTCACTAATTGACTTGAGTAACTTGACTTTGTTGAGTTGGTTATGCACAGGAATAAATGTGCAATTTAAAATAATTCAAAAACAATACCTCAGAGTAATAAATAAATAAATAGCAAAGTCATAAAATCTAATAATATTCAGGTTAAATTATTATAATATAGAATAATATTATACTATTTTATTCAATTTTTGAAGTTGGCCGCGAACCAATCGTTATACCCTATATCACGGCGCGCGTAGTATTGTGCGTCGCGCCTCCCAAAACGACGTCGTTTTGGGAGGCGCGGTAGGAAGTTGCTGTGGTTATGTATATTTCTTCATACAATTATGTACATTTTTTTTATACAATTATGTACATGTTTTTTTATACAATTATGTACATCCGAATCAATAAATTTTTGTGTATTATGTTAAAAGTTGATGTGTATTATGTTAAAAGTTTATGTTTATTATGTATTATGTTAGATTATGTGTATTATCTTTTAAAAAAGAGTATGTATATTTTGTTATATAATTATGTACATTCATGTATATAATTATGTGTATTCTAGTATAACATTATGTACATTTTTGAACATGGGTTTTTTTTTTAAAGAAAAATTAACTGTCAAACACTGGGGTGGGAAATTTCAAAAAATAAAATAAAAATTGAAACGACATCGTTTTGCATCTGGGCGCACAATGCAACGCGCGCCGTGGTGCAGGATATAAATTGCCGCCGCGAGCTATGGTTGAAGAATTCTAGTTCGCGGGCCGGTCCACACATATAGTGAGCGCGGGTCCATCCACATGAACACTCTTAATAATTACGATTGTGCATTTTTTTTGGAAATATGATTGTGCATTTAAAAATGCTTGATAGTGTATTTGCAGATAACTGAAAGTGCATTTAGAAGCTCTTGTGATGACACAGAGAAGGAAAAATGCACTGTCAAACATTTTTAAATGCACAATTGTAATTTCAAAAAATTACATAAATGCGAATTATTCAATTAAGTATTAGTAATAGTTGAATTTGATTGCAGAAGTGTTTCTTACCTTAATTTTGTGATTAACACTCAAGATAAAAAGCAGAGAACACAGAAACATATATAAACCCAGGGAAGATCAGTTGATTTTTTACATGCTAATCTGTTTTGTTCTAGATTCAAACCAATATAATGAAATGCTAAAAGCTACCTAAATCAAAATTTTGGTACGGTTCAAAAGGAAGCTATCTGCTAGCTTCTTCTTCTTTTTTTTTTTTTTTTTTTTTTCATTCTAGGTGATTAATTTAAATTAGATCAACGGCTCAATCTTACCTTATTTTTCACCAGAGTCAACCCCTATATAATCACATAGTATATTTGAAAAATCTAAGCAGTAGAATAATGGAATGGAAAGAATAAAAAGAGTGTGATGGAGTATAACATCTATAATCTATTGCAGCCTCACAGAACTTCGTCTCAACCATAATTCATACATGACCATATAAAATGCATCATAATCCACAGGGAAAATCTGCCATTGAAAGTGTTTTCTCACCTTCATCACATTGCTTTGCAGTTTTGTATATCTATCATCACTTATACCTACAAGGATTTTCTTCAACAGAGGGATATCCAATGTAGCAACAACAATTGAGAAGCTTTTCCAGTTTAATATGTCTGCAAATGGAAGATCGTAATGATTGGCGATGATAACAGGGACACATCCATAATACAGCGCATCACCAATCCGAGCTGTGTTTATTTCGAATCCTTTGACGTGCAGGCAGAATTTGCTACCCAAAAGTTCGTCGGCATAAGTTCTTCTGTCAAGCCGACCGAAGTGCACAGAGATCTGAGAATCATTTCCCCAACACTGCAGAAGCCTTTCGCGTACTGGAGAATTGTTTGATCCCGAGAAAAATGCCAGCTTGTTCCTGAAATTCATCCATCCAAATGAATATAAAACTTTTCATCTTCGATCACTTAATACTCATGTATGCAATTCAACCATGGTTGCAGTAGGCGCTAGGCGCTAGTCGGCACCCGGGCAGCGCCTAGGGCCTAGATGGCCTAGGCGGAATCTAGGCGGCACTAGGCAGGCGCCAAAAAAAATAGTGGCAGACTTGCAGTTTGACAATTTTAATGAGGCTGTTTTCAACATTCAATCAAATAACACATCCAAATAAATGAAATGATGATAATTCATAAGTCATAACATCAAAACAATATTAAAAAATAAAAATACTCAAATATGAAATACTCAAATACTTCAATTATCCAAAATTCAAAGTATCAAACTAGTCTACGGACGGTTGGACAAGACGACATCGGACGAAATCGGTCAAAATCAACCGACTCGGCCGACTAGGCCGATTTTGACTGATTTCGGCCTATTCCGCCGCCTAGGCGCCCGGCAGATTTTTGGGCGCCTAATAGTGAAAGCGGAATAGCCTAGGGGTGCCTAGTGCCTAGGCCGATTTTTACAACAGTGAATTCAACACATTAGCTTTGACTTGCCTTTTATATAGCGTCGGATCCAGATTCCTTTCTTGCCTTGGCCAAATCTGTGGTAAGGATGCATCTTTATGTGGAACATAAGCTGAGAGGTAATAACTCGACGAGCAGACAACTTGGATGGCGTTAATTCTAATTTCAGCTGCCTTCTCCATGGCAGAACGACCGATGGAATGGCAAGCAACATAAAAATGATCGGACCCACCAGATCTATTCCAGTAAGGGTACTCACGACTAATGTTGGATATATAGCTTCTCGTGAAGTCTTGAATTCCATTGACCCCCACTCTGGGGTCATGCCGCAAACGAGCAACTGAAAAAGGAAGAAAGAAGAGATCCGCAGCGAGAGGGTCTTTTGTTACGAAATGGCTTTTCATAAGCACTTTCTTGAAGTAACTTTCACTAGCATAGTTTCCCCCTGGCTCAAAATCAACTGGCAAGAGCACATTGGCAAAGGGTTCATCTTGCTGGTGAGGATAAACATAAATCTTCAAGCTCCTATTCATTTCCTTATAGTTCTCCATAAAGATATCTCTATCATAGAACACCTCATTGTCATTCACAGAGCTTCCTGAAAGTAAAAGCAAATCATTTCCAGATTCATGATATATGACCGGGGCAGGAAACCCAGTGAAAAATTGAGCAATACAGAACACATTATCGAGGATTTGACATAGTGGAATGACTACGCCCATACATGCCGGGGCCATGATTATTTAGGAAGTCTTATTTTATTACTATTGCATTATAAAACTACTAAATAGTTATTTAGAAATCAAGGTTGAAAAAATCCCTACGCGCCCTCTAGGCGCCTGGGGACCACCTAGGGCGCCTAGAGCGCCTAGGCGGACTCCTAGAGCACCTAGGCGGGCGCCTAGAACGCCTAGGTGGCCGACCGCCTAGCGCCTAGGCGCGATTTTTACAACACGGTTAGAAATTACTAAATAGTTATTTAACTTATTACTCTTGGTCTTCGAATTGGTTTAGGTAGCTTAATTATTTAGAAACTACCAAATAATTAATCATTCTTAGTTTAGGAATCTTACTAATCAACCCTATAAAAGGGAAAATTATTTAGAATAATGGTAGGCAGAAATTCAATCCCAAAATGGGCCTAACGGAGTTTTGGGTCTCAAGAAAACTGCAAACCCAGTGTTTTCTTCTTTTCCTTTTCCAACTATTATTCTTTGTTCATTTTTCCTTATGTTTTCTTGCCCGTGACGGGAGAACATAACATAATACGCCCTGAATAGACAAATTTTATACCCAATGAGGATCTCTATGTGTCAATAAACTAGCTAAAATTTTCTATGATCACCACTTTCAACTTTAGTCTAATTTACTATCAAGTTCTCTTATTTGCAAGAAAGAAACGATCAAATAAAAAGAACAATATTAGTAAGTGCAAGCACACTAAAGATGCTAAACTAGTGATGGAGATCATACTGCTTGCTTAAACTTCTGAAGAAGTAAAATAAATTATTAAAAAACCACATATTACTAAATAAAGTTCCCAAGCATAGCAATCAATATCTTAAAGTTCTGACAATTTGAGTATTTGGACCCAAAAACAACAATAATCAAGAATAATAATAAGAGAAGTGAACAAATAGCTATATTGAGTTCCAAATTATAATGAAAAAATGAAGTTCCTTTACAAATAGTTAATCTGATCTTTTCTTTCACTTTTAAAATTCTTGAGAATACTTCCAGCTTTTCCCAGATGGCCAGACATATTTAGCATTTCCCAACTTTAAGTAAAATAGAAGAACTCTTGACATTCAGAAAGTAAATAGCTTAATGGTGAAAACTTATCTCCAATAATGATTTTAGAACAATTTGAGCTCATATAATACTTCCACCCCACAATTCCTCATCAAACAATGTCTTAACAGATTAAGACGGGATTGACAATCAATTCACCCAACCCAATTCCCGGATTCTGGGTCCAGGCATCTAGCCCTATGACTATCAATTCATGATTTTTTGAGACAGAACCAACTGGTAGAGTGATAGGCATAGGTAAGCCTACCTTTATTATACTACCCTATTAACTGGTTCCAAGACGGTTTGCAATTCACCCATTTGCTCACCCCTACATGGAAAGGTGGCAAAGAGAGTGAGTAAACCCCGCCTTGTAACCCTAGACGGCGAAGGACCACAAGGAAGTAAACCAGCCAAGGTTACCCATAGCTGACCGGCTCAAACCAAGGGGGCATGGATCCGTATTCTTGACCTTATGGTTACAAGTGTGGAAAGGATTCCATTTCCATAAGTTGAGTCAAAACACTGAATAATTAGCAAACCTCATTCTATATAAAAAGATAGTATAATAGAAACAATAAGAACAATAAGGCAATTAATGTTGAAAACAAGTGAAATCGTGAATATTTCCAAACATTAGTTAGGAACCCTGAAATTCCGACCACATTTGATGTAGAAAATGATCCATTGAAAATGATCCGTTAGCTCTGAGTTTCCAGATTAAATCTACACCTCACCCCCAAGCCTAAAACAACTAAACTTCTCAGCATTTCAGACAAACAACCAAGCAAGACTGGAGAACAAAACTTTTTAGAACCAGAAACGAACAATTTCCAAGATACATATGCAAGTGAATTCCTGTAGGCATAAAGTATAGTAGAATTAAGTAGGTAGGGCTATGTTTGGTAGAGCTTAATAGCTTATTTTAAGCTACAAATAAACTATAAGCTCCTAGTTTTTTAACTTTTTTTTTCTTTCTTATCTTTATTAATCTACAAAAATAACACCATCTACCCTTCATTAATCAAAATCCTAATATATTAATTTATCATTTCATGTCTTTTTACACTTATCAGTTAATTTAATAATTAATTTTACCAAACACTTTAATTTTAATTTCAATTAGTTAGCTTATTATCTACTTAGCTTTTCAGCATACCAAAGAGAGTCATAATCCCAGGCCAAAGCAGCCGCAACGACATAATCTCTCATAATTCACAATAGTTTTTATTCTGATTCATCGCAATTTAAATTTAAGAATCTAAACTATAGGACGCCCAATAGCGTAAAATTAAGCACAAGATTCAAGCTTTTGCACAGACGAAAACATACATACCATTCGAATTGGAGAAAAATCTCAGTGCCCCCTGAATTGATCTCTCAATAATCTGATCATCAGCAACTCTCTCTTTAGCATCAGCAATTGGAGACTCAGGAACGGAATGGTTAGGAGAATCGGAGAGTAGCTGTAAAGAGGGTCCATTAGCATTAGAAAAGTGGGAGAAATGGTGGGGAGGAGCGAAGAAGAAAGAAGAGGTGAAGGAGATGTAGATGAGAACGAAGAGAGAGGTGAGGAGAGCTAAGGTGGTGGGCAAGAAGAAGAAGAGAAATGCTCTGGGCGAATAGGAATCGCGGCGAGGAGTGAGGATGTTGAGCATTATCAACACTTGAGTCACCATTGAAGAGCTTTCTTGCTGCCGCCTACCGGTTAGTCCACACTCCAAAATATTCATACAAGCGGTAGCCGGCAGAGCTGTGTCCTGTGTGTAGCTTGGACAGTTTATTTTCTAAAGAATAATTTTCACTTTTTGTCTAGGGAATTACTTTTGGTCATTCACTATAATTTTTTTTTTTTAATTATTCAAATTGGTCATTGAACTGAATATAAAAAATGCAATCAAATCATTAAATTAAAAAAAAAAAAAAAAGTGCAGTTAAATTTTAAGTAGTCAAATCTGTTCAATTATACAAAACTAGTACTCCACCCGTGCGATGCACGGCTAAAATAAAATAAAAAATAGTATATATATATGAGTTAATATTCAAAATAGTCCCTCGACTTTGTCGTAATTACCAATTTGGTCCTCGACTATCATTTTTACTCAATTAAGTCCTCAACTATACAATTTTTACCCAATTTAGTCCTTTGTCAATTTGACTGTTTGTTGACTATCAAAAGTGGAAATAAAGTTGTAATTTTACAAGTTTTCTCCTTCCTCCTCATTTAGCAGCGCCAAACCATGTAGCAATAAGCTCCGGTTGCGTTCTAAACCTGTCAGTATCGAAGTAATGGTTATGCATCGGATAGCCCATGAATTTGATTTCCAACGATTTTTTGACGATCTAAATCTGATCGGAGTGTATTGCTGCATGGTTTGGCGCTGCTAAATGGAGAGGAATGAGAAATCTTGTAAAATTATAATTTTATCCCGACTTTTGACAGTCAACAAACAGTCAAATTAATACAGATGACTAAACTGGGTAAGAATTGTATAGTTGAGGACTAAATTGGGTAAGAATTGTATAGTTGAGGACTTAATTGAGTAAAAGTTACATAGTTGAGGACTTAATTGGGTAAGAATGGTAGTTGAGGACCAAATTGGTAATTATGACATAGTCGATGGACCATTTTGAGTATTAACTCTATATATATATATATATATATATATATATATATATATATATATATATATATATTCAATTATTTATTTATTAGTTTATTAGTAATAGTAATATAAAAATTATATTGGCATTTCAAAAAGTATGTAAAATATAACTTCATATTGCATAGGTAACAAATAATTAATAATATACAAATTTTATAAATTGTTAAAGACCTCTCTGTATACAACATTAGACGTTGAAGAAACATACTCTCCATTGTCGCTACAAATAAGTAACTTAAGACCATTCGGATTACTAACCCTAGACAAAGCAACATATAATTATCCGTGAACAAAGACTGATTTTTTCAACAAAAGTCCAACTGTAGACAATGTTTGGCCTTGACTCTTGTTTATCGTCATAGCATAAGACAACATAAGTGGGAATTGCCTTCGTTGGAATTTAAATGGTAGCCTAGTATCTGACGGTGTAAGAGACAATCGTGGGATCAAGACTTGTTCACCTGCATTACTACCAAAAAGAATCTTGGCTTCAACAACATGATCTGCTAATTTAGAAATAATTAATCTTGTCCCATTGCAAAATAATGTCTACTATAAAATAATGTACATTCAGTATAAAAATAACGTATATTCAATACAAAAATAATGTACATTGTATTCAGGGGATGTACATTATTTTTGTTCTAAGTGTACATTATATTGTACAATGTATATTCAGTACAAAAATAATGTACATTTAATGTATTAAAAATGTACTTTTTATTATGGTCCACACAATAATTTTCCCATTAATTATATTAAGTATATTATAAATATGGGCCTTTCAAAAAAAAATAAATAAATATGGGTTAACCATAGCCCAACCACAAACTCTAGCCTAATTATAGCCCAAATATAAACTCTAGCCTATCAAAGCCCAACCCAAAATCCAAACCAGAACAAAACACCCTAAACAACTGAACAGTTAGACCATTTTGTCGGAACCCTATCTTTTCGGCTGCGCATATCTTCTCTACACTGTGTCTACTGTTTTTGGAAACTACACCATCCACACATCGCCATTATTGCTTAAGCTATCGCCTCTAGCTCGATGTCATTTTCTAGTCATCTCCATGTTCAAACATCACCTTTACAAAACTATGTAGTCCAATTGGAACTACTAACCAGTTACACCCAACAAAACCCTAACACTACCTATTCTTTGTAAATCGATTCTGGAAATTTAACGACATACACATCTATACACCATTCTTTTTCTATCTCGAACTGTCGTTCTACCAATCTCCTTCTCTAACCTATTCTCTATATCTTTCGATGTATACGATTCACAAATCTAGACTAATTACATCAAAGAAAAGTGTTATCTTGTGTTCAGCGTTTTCAATTCTACTAAACACCACTCAACAGATGGATTGGAACAAACGTTCTTATGTTAAATCTAAAAGAAAATCAGCAACCACGACTACCACATCTATAAGGTAAAAACTTATACTTTACTAATTTTGAAGTTAATAATTTATATTTTTTTGGTACAAAGACATCTATTATGCAATTTTATCAAAATTAGAATCATGCATTTTTTTTTGTATTTATAAAAATGAAAATACTCAGCTCAAATTGATGAATTTTCGTAAAATCTATGTTCTCTTTAATTTTCTGTTTAATAGCTGCGTTTTTATATTAGATATGTTCTATGCATGAATATTGTTGGAAATTGTGAAAAAAATAGTATTAAGATTAGTGTTGCTGTACAATTCAATAATTTAGTTTGAAATTGATTAGTAATACTGAAATTGATTAATTTTTTTTTTTTAGAGTTCTTTCCACTTCACATGCCATCAAAAGCATAATTTCAGTTTACCCTTCTGCTTAAAAAAATGAGTTCATTCTTAAAAAAGTTCAATTTAAATCATATTCACCTGTTATTAAGTAATACTATTTTTAAATCATTGTATCAACAAATTTTATATACAAAACATGTCAACAAATATATTAGTAGTGTTTTGATTTTTTTTTTTTAATGACCTCAATAATATTCATTTGCAGGTGTACAGGAAAGTGTTGCATTTACACTCTCTCAATACACTGACAAAAAAAGAAGAGACATAGGGAACCAAATTGGTGCAGATATAGTAGACAAATGGAAAGCAAAGAAGATGAGTATTGCAAACCAAAAAAGTAAGTTAACATTTGTTACAATTTTAATGAAGAACAACATGTATGTTTCATTTTTACCTTTGTCTTCAACATCAAGCTTTCTTTTTCCACGAATGATAGTTGAGCTAGTCAATTTTTTCATTGTTGCAATTGCTAGCTAAAAACTTTCAGAAGTTCTCTTTTGGAATGAATATATAGTGTACATGTTGCATTCTTAAATGAAGTATATATAGAGATACCAGGTAGTACACATGCTAAGAAGTCTCAATCAAACATTAGTATATAATAGTCAACACTTACCATCCACATTAAATGCTTAGGTATAGGTATAGGTGTATGGGAAAAAGTATTCCTAAATGTATGTCTTGGGTATTGTGTAATTTGTACCATGGCATTGTCAATTTGTTTCACTTCTCAAATTGCTATCTGTTGCCCCACACACACACACACACACACACACACACACACACACACACACACACACACACACACACACACACACACACACACACACACACACACACACACATATATATATATATATATATATATATATATATATATATATATATATATTTGTAATTTTATTGCTATAATAGGATTTGTGAAAAAATATAAGTATTTGCAATATATATGCAATTGATATCCTTTTTCTCAAAAATCAACCTGCTAATCTGCTTTGTCTTTTTTCCTTTTTTAAAAATGATTTACCAGGGCTTGTCTAAATTTGTTTGTCATTTCTCAATTCTCAGTAAGATGCCATTTTTTTTTTAAAAAAAAAAGAAAAGAAAAAAAGAAAAATGTTCCTATATGATGTTTGTGAAATAATAGATTTATTTGCAATACATATGCAAGTCCTTTACCTCAAATATGAGCCTGCTAATATATGATATAACTGCTTTTTTTTTTTTTTTTTGGTATATTAAAGTTTGTTTAATAATAGGTTAATTTGGAATAGATAAGTAATTGAAATACTTTCTATACATATATATGAACAAATACTAACAATCTAAAATCAAAAGCAAGTGATGATAAAGGAGTCTGATGCTTCCTTTTTTTTTAGTTGCTATAATTGAGTTTGTAAAATAACATATTTATCTGTAATACATGTGCATGGGAGATCCTTTTCTTTAATGATCAGCTTGCTAATCTATTAAAAAAAAAAAATTTGCCCTTTTTGTATATGATTTACCATGGCCACTATCAATTTCTTTGTCATTTCTCAAATATTAATCTTTTGATACTTTTTCTTTTTTTTTTTTTTGAATGGGTTCCTATTATTTCACTTAAGGAATAATATATTTCTTTGCAATATGCAAGTGATATGTATTTACTCAAAAATCAACCTCCTAATTTGCTATACCTTTTGTAATTTCCCCCTTTCTTTTTTATCTCATTACCAGGAAACTATCAGTATGCTGCAATTTTTTTTGGGCTTGCTATAATAGACTTTGTGAAATTATAGATTAATATGATTTAATTTGTTGCTATAATATGCTCTAACTGTTTTTTTTTTTTTTTTAATGATTTGGATTTCTATATTATATATTATACTTTGATTAATAATAGGTTTATTTGTAATATTTGGGTAAGCAATATATACTTATACTTGAATAGAATAAGAACCAAAACCCATTAGTGGCTGGTTTGCAATTAGAGCAACCAGTCATTACATTTAAAATAGATTAGCAACTGCAACATATGCAGTTTTACACACATTGCCTCCCAAAACACACACTACATACATTGTACTGCTTACCAGTACACTGAAACACCTGCAGTGTTCAAAAAACAAACTCATAGGCAAAAACACACTACACACAATCCACTGGCTAACAGTACATTTCAAAAAGCTGCAGTTTTCTAGGCATAATCATCAGTTTGGTAGAATTTAGCACACAAAACCCACTTACCAGCTTAGTATTAGTACAACCTATTTCTAAATAAAGAAATTTCCATTACTTTTCCTGCTTCACCACCACCTCCTTAGCCTTCTTTATGCTACCAGACATACCAAACTCTTTCAGCAGAGATCTCTTAAGAGGAACACCCACATGTTCACTTTCCAAATCAACAACACCCTTATCCTTAGTTTTGTTACAACCACCAGCAGTAACCAAATCTTTGACCATAGATCCCTTAACAGCATCAGCAACATGCTCATCCCCTAAATCCTCAGAAATGTCATCCAAACCAACAGTGATATCATCTTCCACACCATCAGAGACATCCTCCACTCCAAAAAACTCCTCTTCATCACTGCCAAACTGTTGCTGCATAAAAATAGTTCTGACCAGTCAATAACCTACTTAGAACCACTTATAAACCCAAAAATAGAATAATAAGTATACCTCATAGTTACATCCAACATCCAAAGAACCTCCGACATGACCTGGAACCATTTCAGCAGAAGGGGCACCTAGAAAACCTGAGCAGTGTTGTGTAACTAATGGCTCATCCCTGCAAATCCTTAGAACCGTAAAGGCAGAATAGTAGCTCTCCACCTGTTCCTTCTTCATAACAATACGGAAAACCATAGACATCCCACGCAAGCGACCAAGTTCAGGTGGAATACAATTATTTCCCTAGAAATATTGGAGAACAGATAAGACATCAAAAACCAACCACTAAACACATAATAAAGAAGTGAAATAGTATAGTATACCTCATGGTACTTAGCCTTTAACTCAGCCGCTGACATACCAACCAAATCTGCACATTCATGATCCCATATAAGCATAGGAGCATCTCCAGTGTGGTCCGCCACACGGACAATCAACCTATACCTCACAATTCCTTCATGCCAAGAATTCTTACACCCACCACAGTACATCATGCCACCTTGTTCAGCAAGCTTCTTCTTGCAAGAATTAGTCTTGCAAGAAATGAAATACCAATCACTTATACTCTCTACACCAACAATTCTGCCTGCAACCCAATACTCCCCCAACTGGTGCAAAAAAAAAAAAAAAAAAATATCTAGGTCATCTCTTTTATGCTTAGAATTTATAAGTATATAGAAAACACCAAAAAAATTAGTAGACAAACAAAAATAATTATCAAACATTGTAGCATATTAACCTGTTTTTTCAAGTAAATATCTTCAATAGAAGTAACCAAAATATCATTAGGATGCAGGCCATTAGTAGGGAAACCAACATCAAGCCTAGAACCAGATTTTATACACCTCAAAGGGGTGTAGTCACCTGTAAAGCTATTAAAAATAAAAAAAAAAAAGTAAATACTTTCACATCCATTTTGATTTAAAAAGTTGAACAAGCACCATAAAATAAAAATGCACCTATTCTTGAAGTCACGGAACTCCTTAGATGAATGAGTAAAAAATAGTTAGGTAGCATCAAAGGAGCTGCAAATACGAACCTCGCCATCTAACCAGAAAAAAATTTGCTCATTAGGAGATAGGATATTACTTGAAATAGAAAGCACACACATCCTGGATTAGAACTTACTGTCCATAAACTTGGCCCTACAAAGTTGAATGAGAAGTATGACTGGATCAGATGCAGCAATGTGGAAATAAGGAGATAGTTGATCCACATGCTCATCCCATAATGTACACTTAATCTTATTTTTACTGCACGAAAACAGAAACCAATTTAAATACCCAACAGAATTAATAATAAGATTTCCATCAGCATAGCCAAGCCAAAAAAAATATATATATATATTACCCATTGTCTTCAAGAACAAAGTCAATAAGCCTTGTTTGTTTTCCAGCTATCACTTTGTCTAGTGGTGTATAAATTTCAACAACTCGGCCAATCACATCTACATAAAATAACAGCAGAATATTAGTGTTGATGGCTATGGTTGAAAACATAATCAAAGTAGCATTCCTTCATTTGAGTATTATATATGTATGCATCCAGTTAAACTCTTACCTATCAACACTTTCTCATCAACATTCTTCTTTGAAAGTATGTCCGGGAAACTCTTAAACCGGAACATTGTTTTAGGGAAATTCACACGCTGATATTGCTTCACAACAGTGTGATGTTTCAATTTGATCATATAACGATGTGTGCTTGTTTTATACTTGAAAAAGTTAGTGATACATAGGAAATTTCGAATACCATAGACTTTACCCTCCTTGAACATATTCTGGTATGTTGCAACAATATCCATAGGTATGTGAACATGAATAAAAATATCCTATATTCAAGACACAAAGAAAATATCATAAGTACTTATAAACAGTTAGCAATGGACAATAAAATTAGAAGATAGTAATATAGGAATAGCACACCTCTTGATCATGAAAGACACACTCTTGACTTCTAATTTGTTTTTGTCCTCTGTTTTCAGTGACAACATAGCTCCGCACACAATGCAATCTAATGGCCTTAGAAGTCTGCTGCGGGTGAAGCTGGGCACCAACTATGAACTGCCCAGTCATGTTGGTTTTTGAAAGCTGAAAGTTGTAATATTTTGCTTCGTTTTGTGGTAGCACAGATGAAAGAAAGTTGTAATATTTTGCTTTGCTTTGCTTTGAGGCCTGAATGTGTAGCTATATATAACCAGCAAACTTAGAGTCGGACAATTGCAAAAATATTAAAATATTACCTATGCACTGCAGTTTAGATCACTCCCATACCTATTAGACTTAAATCACACGTTTCCTATCTAGAAACCCATTAGAATACTAACTCCACAATAGCCCACACCCCTAAACAGCAGGCCTAAAATCATACGGCAACACCAAATCAGTAAATTAAAATTTTCAAATAGGCGGGAAATTGAATGGATTTGAAAAAAAAAAAAAACCACCTAAACGGTGTCGTGTATTTAGGCGGGAAAATGGAAGGATTTGATTGGCCAAAATCCTATGGCCTTTATATGTATATAGATAGAAAGTTGATCCCTTGTCTATGTAAATATTAAATTAAACATAATTTTTAATTATCTTTTAAAATTAAACATTACTACTTTTATTATTAGTCTCTCCAAATGTTCAAATTGCAGGCATGTTTTGTTGGAAAAATAGCTTAAAATGGCATATTAAGTGCTATTTTGTGGTACAATTATCAGTGGGGTCCACTTCTGATTTGGGTCAGGTCAAAGTGGATTCGGGTTCTTCGTAGTGAGACGAAGAGATTGATATATTGTACGCTCAAAACGGATAATGGGTGAATGAGATATTGATTTTCAAAGTAGACCCATTTGAGTTGGAAAATGAAGGAAAAAGTGAATTTTGTCCTACATTGGTTTGGAAAGAGGATTTGCCCCCCTTTTATACAAGAGCTCTTTTGGAGCTTGTAGAATTGTATAGCATAGAGGCTCTCTCGTGCGGGGGAGGGGGGGGGGGGGGGCAAATCAAATTCCAACTAGAAACGAGATCGAAAAGGCTTGATTCAAGCCCGAGCTCGTGTGCGCGGGCACGAATGTCGTTCGAATATTGGCAGGCCTTGCGGACTAAGTTATGCCAAACTTCGGTATCACTTTAGCACAACTCTCGTGCAACGGTGAACACGAGAGGTGCACTCTCGGGCTGACCACAGAGCACGAGAGTTGCACTCTCGTGCTGCTGGTTCGGCCTTTTAAGGCCGAACCTTGTACTTTCGTGTCCTGAACAGCGAACCTGCACCCCGACGGTCTGAAACCCGAAAGTTCTGCCTGTTGTGAAGATTAAACTCATCTGTTACGGAATTAATACTATTTAATTTCCAATTTTGAATCTGAGTTTAATCCTAGTTAGTGGGTGGCTGTTACAGGTGTTACACAATTGATTTTAATACCAATTTAATGGCCATGTTAAATGTTATCGTCAACAGCCCTATATAAAGAGAGGTAGAGCAGTAGCATTTTACACAGAACAAGAAACAAAGGAATTCCAGTACGTTTAGCTTCTCAAAACTCTGCTTCTACTCCCTTCTTTAGCCAACAAGCGTTCTTGCTTTGCTTTGTTTGCCGGGTTCTTTGTTTGGGTGCTTAAACAAAGAATTGTAGCACGTTTTATCCTGGGAAACCTAGGCTACAACGCTCCTAGCACTTGTAGGAGGTAGCAAATAAGGTTTTAAGGAAAAGAACTTTGTGTTCAAACTCATGCTAACCTTTACCCAGTTTTTCCACCTTTTTCTTCCCAGATTTTTTTCTGTTTTTCCCATATAATAATAATCTTTCCGTAGGATTATTATTTTGGGATTTTTCCACCTTATTACCCAACAATCTTAAAACCTTATTCTCGTTTCCTGTTGGTTGTTTATCTCTAATTTCCTTGAAGAAATGGAGAATCCCGTTTTGCCAATTCATGGGGAGGAGAATGTTGTTGAGAACAACAATGGTGGGAATGGCAACAATGTTGCTAATTCCCAAGCTACACCAGTGAACGTTGGTTCACAAGATGGTGGGAGCACTGAGGGATATATTCCCATGACTCGGGTACCTTCGGTACCGAGTGCTTCGGCCGAAAGACCGGAGAAGTTCACCGGTAGTGGATCGAACTTCAAGAGGTGGCAACAAAAGATGTTGTTCTACCTAGCAACTCTCTACTTGGCAAGGTTCTTAACCGAGAAAGTTCCCGAATTAAGGGAACAGGATGCCCAATCCGTGATGGCAGTTGGCTATTGGAAGGATTCGGACTTCCTATGCCGAAACTACATCCTGAACGGATTATGTGATGCGTTATACGATGTATATCGCAAGATTGGCACAACGAAAGCGCTGTGGGAAGCCTTGGATCATAAATACAGAAGTGAGGATGCCGACGCAAAGAAATTTGTGGTTGGCCGATTCCTTGACTTCAAAATGGTTGATTCCAAGATTGTGTTAAGTCAGGTAGAAGATTTACAATTGATCTTCGACGAAATCCGTGACGAGGGCATGATGTTGAGTGAAGCCTTCCTAGTGGGATCTGTTATCCACTTACTGCCTCCAGGGTGGAAGGACTTCAAGAACTACCTTAAGCATAAGCGAAAGGAGATGAACTTGGAGGACCTGATCCAGCGACTCCGAATTGAGGAGGGGAACAGGTCGAATGATGGGAGAAATTCTTTCACTGTTGGCGCTAAGGTCAATGTTGTGGAGCATGGTAAAAGCTCCAAGAAGAACAAGAAGGACAAGCGAAAGCTAGGTCCAAATGGAGGCATTACCAAGAAGAGGTTTCATGGAAAATGCTTCAATTGTGGCAAGTATGGCCACAAGTCTTCTGAATGCAAAGTTCCAAAGAAGAAGAACAAGAATTCTGAAGCCAACATGGTTGAAGAAAGCAGTCAGAAGGAGGTCGAGATTAGCCTTTCGGCTATGGTGACCAGGTGAACCTCGTGGACTCTAACCCATAAGAATGGTTCATTGATACTGGTGCAACAAGGCATTTGTGTTGCAACCGAGAAATGTTCAACACCTTTGAGACCGTTGAGGGCCATAAGGTTTGGATGGGAAACTTTGCTCAGTCTGCTGTGGAAAGCACGGGCAAGGTGGTTCTGAAGATCACTTCCGGGAAGGAACTGACATTGAACAACGTGCTGTATGTTCCAGAACTGAGGAAGAATCTAGTGTCTGGCTCACTACTGAACAAGCATGGATTCCGCATGGTGTTCGAGTCAGACAAGGTTGTTTTGTCTAAGTTAGGAATGTTTGTAGGCAAAGGTTATGTAACTGATGGGCTGTTTAAGCTCGATGTAATGCCTATTATCATGAATAAGAGCAAAGTTACTTCCGTTTACTTGCTTGAGTCTTCCAATTTGTGGCATGGTAGACTAGGTCACGTTAATTATAATTCTATACGTAGATTAATAACATGAACCATATTCCTAATTTCCAAATTAACACAAATAACAAGTGTGAAATTTGTGTTGAGGCAAAACTAACGAAAGTACCTTTCAAATCGGTTGAAAGGGAAACTGAACCACTAGAATTAATCCATAGTGATTTGTGCGATTTTAGATCGATACAAACGAGAGGTGGTAATAAATATTTTATCACGTTTATCAACGATAGCACACGTTATTGCAATGTGTATTTGCTTAAAAGCAAAGACGAAGCCTTGGGAAAATTCATTCTTTATAAGAATGAAGTTGAAAACCAACTTAATCGTAAGATAAGAAAGTTAGAAGCGATAGAGGTGGTGAGTATGAAGCACCTATTGGTGACTTCTGTGCTAGTATAGGTATCATACACGAGCGTACGGCACCTTACGCACCTCAATTGAACGGTGTTGCCAAATGAAAGAATCGTACATTGAAAGATATGATGAATGCGATGCTTATAAGTTCGGGCCTACCTCAAGGTATGTGGGGTGAGGTGATTTTGTCAAGTAATTACCTTTTAAATAAGGTACCTCGCAAGAAGCTCGATAAGACTCCTTATGAGCTGTGGAACGGTAGGAAACCTTCCTATCAGTACCTGAAAGTGTGGGGGTGTCTTGCCAAAGTTTTGGTGCCAACACCTAAGAAAGTAAAGATAGGTCCTAAGACGGTGGACTGTATCTTTATTGGCTATGCACATAACAGTAGTCACTTGGTTCGGCCGAAACCGAGAGCACCGCGATCGTGCTACAGAGAGCACGAGAGGTGGTGGTGCACCGATAGCACAACTCTCGTGCAACGGTGAAACACGAGAGGTGCACGCTCGGGTTGCACCACAGCACGAGAGGTGCACTCTCGGGCTGCACCACAGAGCACGAGAGTTGTACTCTCGTGCTGTTGGTTCGGCCTTTCAAGGCCGAACCTTATACTCTCGTGTCCTGAACAGCGAACCTGCACCCCAACGGTCTGAAACCCGAAAGTTCAGCCTGTTGTGAAGATTAAACTCATCTGTTACGGAATTAATACTATTTTAATTTCAATTTTAAATCTGAGTTTAATCCTAGTTAGTGGGTGGCTGTTACAGGTGTTACACACTTGGTTTTAATACCAATTTAATGGCCATGTTAAATGCTATCACTCCAACAGCCCTATATAAAGAGAGGTAGAGCAGTAGCATTTTACACAGAACAAGAAACAAAAGAATTCCAGTACGTTTAGCTTCTCAAAACTCTACTTCTACTCTCTTCTTTAGCCAACAAACGTTCTTGCTTTGCTTTGTTTGCCAGGTTCTTTGTTTGGGTGCTTAAACAAAGAATCGTAGCACGTTTTATCCTGGAAACCTAGGCTACAACGCTCCTAGCCCTTGTGGAGGTAGCAAATAAGGTTTTAAGGAAAAGAACTTTGTGTTCAAACTCATGCTAACCTTTACCCAGTTTTTCCACATTTTCCTTCCCAGATTTTTTTTCTGTTTTTCCCATATAATAATAATCTTTCCGTAAGATTATTATTTTGGGATTTTTCCACCTTATTACCCAACATGTTTTCCTCAAATTTCCCGAACCTCGAAATATAATACATAAAACAGAATATAAGCAACAACCTGCAAACAAGAAAATAGTTCACAAGTTCACAGAATCGTTGTGTACAGAAAATGAGAGATTTGAACGATTGAAGATTTTGGAGAAAACATGCATGTTAATTAATTTGGAGATTTGGGAATATTAATAATAAAAGTTATAATGTTTAATTTAAAAAGAGAAAATGGTCAAATAGACCCCTAAACATTTTGCTAAAGGTCAATTAACTCCACAAATTTTTAAAAAGGTCAATGAACACATGAACACACAATTTTGAGTCAGTTGACCCCATTAATCAGTAATTTCTCCGGTAAGAGCCGGTAATTGACCATGTGGCGCCACGTAAGCTTTGTTTTATGTTTTTTTTTTTCTCGCTACATAAGCATAAATTAACAAAATAAAATTAAGTAAATAAAAGAAAATTTTAAGTCAGAATGAAGTCATTACCGCATCCGCTCGTTCAGCCCCAAAATCGAGTGTTTGTCCAGCCCTAATTCACCAGCAAAATCTCTGTCGCTTGCCATAATCCACCAGCAAAATCTCTGTCAATCGCCTTAATCCAGCTGCTCATCGTCTCTCGTCATCGCACCAGTTATCGCTCACCACCACCAGTCGTCTCTCGTCATCGCTCCTCGTCGTCCTCGTCGCACCACCATCACCATCGCAGTAGTTCGTCGCTATAGGTTCCACCACCGTCCGCCGCTCCACTCCAGCGCTCCACCACCTCTTCGCACCACCATCACCATTGAAGGTATTTTTCCTTTTTTTTTTTTCTACCAGTGGTTTTAGGGTTTATGTTTTTTCTCTTTCTTTAGGCAGTAGGAATTTCTTTTTTCATACCACTGATATGCCACCGCAAATTTGTTTATGGGTATGAAAAAATAAAGCTTTTTATATGTTTAGGGTGAATTAGCAGTAGCTTTCAAAAGCTTATTTGTTTATCTTTGATTGTATTTGTTTAAGGATTGGGTCCCATTATGTTGTCAATAATGGAGACACTTTGGGTATTATAGTCCTGATGAATGCATTGCAATAAGTGTATAGTAGTTGTGGTATTTTATATATTAGATTATTGAATGGTCCCTACACTTATGTTGACTACCAGTACAGTTTGGCTTTATAAGTAAATTGAAGGCTGTAAAAAGTATGCTTATTGGGAAGAATAACTGTTTAAAAAATGTAAAAAAAGTATGTTAGAATAACTGTTTAAAAAATGTAAAAATGTTGTTTGTAATCCAAATTATCTTCTGCCAACTAAAAATTTAGATAAGTGCCCTTTTTTGTCTGAAAAAAGAAAGACAAAAGCAGAGTGTGCCTCTTGTTGCAATTGAACAACACTTTTAAGTTTGGTTTGCAAAAGAAAAGAGTGTGTCTCTTAGAATAATTGTTCCAAAATAGTAAAAAGTGTGCTTTTTGTAATCCAGTTAGAATGTTTTTAATACAATTAAACATGTCTATATTTTGTAGAATGCATTCCACTGTTGAAATTAGAATTCACCATGGTGGGAATTTTGTCCAAGAACCTAGGATGGAGTATATAGGTGGTGATGTGGAAACAGTGGCAATGGACCCTGATTTTTTATCACATCCTCACTTATTGAAATTTTAAGGAGGAGGGGTATGGTAAAATATTGTCACTGTCATTTAAACTACCACATGAGAGTTTAAAGAGCTTCTAGTTGTTGAATAACGATAAAAGTACATTGCACATGAGTTACTTGGCTCAACATTGGGGCGCAATTGACTTGTATGTTGAGCATGGGATAGATGATGCAAAGGTTGTTTCCAAATTTACCATTATCAGAACCTGAGCATGCAGATCATATTCAAGAAGATGTTGAAGTAGAAGAAGATGATCCTAATGATGAAGAAGCTGATTTAGAAAGTAGTCATGAAGATGGGGATTCTAATTAGGAAAGAAGTCCTCAAGATGGAGTTGATTTCGTTGATGTTGAGTGCCAAAATGCAGAAAATAATGATGAGGACATTGGAAGGGCTAGGCAGAATGTGACACTGAAAATGTGGGTGAGAAGGATGATGTGCAAAGTTAGTATTATGACTCTGATGACCCATTGAGTTATCAATCTGAAAAAGAAGAGGTACAAGTATCATTTGAGCAGACCACTAGTACAGAAACAAGTAGATTTAAATACCCTTCCTACAATCCAAATGTTGAGTCAGTTGAACTTGAAGTTGGTACCCTATATGATGATGCAAAACAGTTTAGAAAGGTAATGATCAATTATGATGTTTACTGAAAGAGAAATATCCACTTTGTGAGGAATGAGCCACATCGTGTGTCCCTTGCATGTGACCAGCTTTGTCCATTTCAAGCTCATAGATTATGGGATGACACTTTCAAGTGTTTTCAACTTAAAACAGTGACTACGGAGCATAGGTGCAATCTAAAGTACATCTTAAGATTACTAAGCCAATTGTGGATAGAGGAGCGGTATGACGATAAGATAAGAGACAACCCTTCAATTGGACAAACGGAATTGAAAAAAACATATCCAACCTTAATTGAAACTAAATGTGGGAATCTATATGGTAAAGAGGGCAATCAAAGTTGTATTGAAGAGAATTTATGCTGGTTTTCAAGACCAATTACGTAGAATAAGGGATTATGCTGCTGAATGTATCAATTCTAATCCCGGTACCACTGTTGTTGTAAAAACCAATAGAACAACACCCGAATGTCCTTGTGTTTTTCAGAGATTCTATGTTTGTTTTGCAGATGTAAAGAAAGGGTTTTTAGAAGAATGTAGAAAAGTAATTGTTATTACAGTAATTGTTTATACTCTTTTCCTTTGTTGTAGCTTGGTCAATCACAGGAGCAAGTCATTCACCATGGATCAAACTCAAGCAATCAAGACTCTCAAGCATCAAAGAACCAATGAACTGACATTAGAAACTTACTTTATTTTTTGTAGATTCTGCTGTATGAACTTATAGTAAGACATTGGTTGTATCTCTTTTTGTTGGATTGTATATCTTGCCGGCCTGTATCTCTTTTTGGTGTTAAGCATTCGATAGTAAGGTCTTGGCAGCTTGTAAGATCTTGGCAGATTGTACATTGAAACTAAAATGTAAATGTAGTGGCAGATTGTACATTGAAACTAAAATGTAAATGTAGTTATCTTTTGGCAGCTTGTATCTCTTTTTGGTGTTAAGCTTTTGGCAGTAAGGTCTTAGTAGATTGTAAGGTCTTGGCAGATTCTACATTGAAACTAAAATGTAGTTATCTATTGGCAAATTGTATCTTATGCAGATTGTATCTCTTTAGCTGGATTGTATCTGTTTTGTAGAACACTTTAAAGTGGACACTTCTTGTACATTGTTTATTAGATACTCAACTAAAACAAGTTTAAACTACAACATCAATTTGACAAAAAAAAAATACAAACTTCATTGAAGTAACTAGCAACATACATCCATATGACAACACAAATAAACCAAATTAATATATTACTAAACTACAGCAAAAGCATCATAGAACCATAAGGTTTTATCCTTTGTTGCAAACTTACAAACATATTTATTCCTACAACAATAATAAAACCAATTATTATGTTTCTTTGTCTTTTTTTTTTCTTTCAACTTTAGCTTCAAAACCTTTCTCAACATCACTTCGCAATTGTTGGATTTCCTCCATAATTTCAGACTTCATCTTTTTCAACTCTATTCCAACATTCTTATTCCAATCAGAGTCAACCTCATCATCTTTCCATAGAGCATTTTTCCAGATAAAAAATCCACATCCCCCTTCCTGGACAAATACAAAATTAAACAAAAAATTCATAACATTTTAAACCTTAAATTAATACATATTAGACACTTATCAATAACATTTTTAAACCTTAAATGCAATACATGTACCTTCCACCTTTGACACCCAAAAAATTGTTGCCCATTCTCTCGTGATACACATAGTGGTGATTTCAATCCACAACGGCAATACAATGGTGGTTCATACTGTAGATTTGGTCTCACCATTGAGGGAGACGAAAATGGTGAACCACTCCAACATGATGATGTTATCTCCAATGGTGAAATGCGAATTAGAAGCCTAAGCACTCTACTGGGTCAGATGGCGTAGAAGAAAGAAGAAGCAGAAGATTTCGAAGAAAGAAGAGGCAGAAGATTTCAAAGAAGAAGTGAAGGAGACAACGTGAGAATTAGGGCAATCCAAAGTAGATATCATTTAAATCCTCTTTTAATTAGGTCAATCCAACTAATTAAAACAAAGCTTACGTGGCGCCACATTATCAATTACTAGCTCTTACCGGAGAAGTTACCGGTAGGTCAACTGACTCAAAATTGTGTGTTCATGTGTGTAATTGATCTTTTTAAAAGTTTGTGGGGTTAATTGACCTTTACCGCATGTTTGGTTCATGGAATAGGTTGGGAATGGAATACCATTCCCGGGAGACTTATTCCATTGTTTGGTTTGTCTTTTCATGGCCGGGAATAGCATTCCCGGGAATGAGCTATTCCCTTTGTAGGGGGAATAACCATTCCTAGGGGATCCCCTGGTATTAGCTATTCCCAAGTATTCGGGAATAGCTTTTGTACTCTAATACCGAAAATACCATTTTGACCCTTTTCTCATTTAAAAATATAATTAAAAATATGTTAATTTAATATCCACGTAAGCGTCATGTGGCATGGTAATCTATTGAGGAAGGATTAACCTGCTATTACGTATAATTGAACAGATTTGAGTACTTGAGAGATCTCATTGCATATTTTCTAAGTTCAATGGTCTGATTGCATTTTTGTGTTCAGTTCGATGGTCAATTTGAATATTTTTCCAATTGTCTAATTAGGTGCATGACTATGTAATTTGTATCACATTTGATTTTGTCATCCAATTTTTTGGCCAACAATTGTCGAAAGTGCTCATTCTGAAAGAAGCAAATACAATGATCCTTTCAAAAAAGAACACTTCCAACAATAGTTGTCCAAAAAATTAAACAACAAGACCAAATGTGATGCAACTTACATAGTCATGCACTTAATTAAAAAATTTTAATAATCAACGATTAAATATGATTCATGTATAACAATTAAATATGATTCATGTATAACAGTCAGGGACTAAAAGTAAAAAATTCTTTTTCCAAATACTTTAGAATTCTATTTATCCAAAAAAGAAAAAGAAAAAGATATTTTCAAATTATTAAAATAGATCACGAGTAATATTCATATTAGTTAAAAACTTGATTAAATAAGTATTACGAATATTCTTCAAAAAGGTTGAACCCCAACCCTAAGGGTCCCCCACACCCCGACTCGATAGAGCATTTGAGAGAAGTAGTACGATATTGATATGTTGATACGTAGTACTTTGTAGAATGGTTATAATTTTATCGTATTACAAAATTACTTTGATACAATTTTTATTAACAAGATGATTATATTGTCACTATGAGACCATATTGTATAATGTGGTGGTGATAACCTATAAATAATGACCCTTAAACTTTTATCAAAAGTGCAATTAGCTAGGTCATTAAACTTTAAAAGAGTGCAATTATATACTCGAACTTGTCATTTTGAGGCATATAACCCCAGTAACTGGTTATTTACCTGAAATAACCAATCATTCAAGATTCTGGTGAATAAAAGTTCCGACAAGTACAAAAATTAAAAAAAAAAAAAAAAATCAGATGGTCTCAACCGAAGAGGACGACCGATGTCGTCTTCTATTGGAGAAGACGACCTAATTGGTCGCCTTCTATGGGAGAAGACGACCTAATTGGTCGCCTTCTCCAATATCCAATAAATAGAAGAAGAAAGTCTGCCCAAGACATGTACCAAATCTTTCACGTACCCCCACCAGGTCTCAGGCTCCGCAAAGAAACTAGCTAAAACAGAACTCGCATGAATTGCTCCTATTGGAGATGACGACCCGGAGAAGACGACCAGATATGTTGATTATCGATAAATTAGACTTATTTGACTCATTTTTACAAGTTTGAGTGTGTAATTGCACTTTTTTAAAATTTAAGGGTCTATTTGACCTTTTTCCTTATTGATAGATCGTACTGTGACAAATAATAATAATAATAATAATAATAATAATAATAATAATAATACAATGGTAATGTGTCATGTGACAAAGTGTATAAGTAGAAATCTATATATATATATATATATATATATATATATATATATATATATATATATATATATATATATATTAAAACAAAACATACACACACATACACAATTAGTATTTGACCATCTTCTCTATGTCATATTTTCCTGGTTTTATTTTATGACGTGTTGGGTAGTGTATTTAAAAATAATTTTTAAAATTTATTTTAATAATTTCAAATAAAATAATTGTTTAAAAAAATAAAATAAATAAATTATTATTTTGAATTTTTTTTAAACAACCTTGTTGTCCATGGCAGGCCCTTCATCTCCGTGGCTAGCAAGAGACGAAAGGGACCCTTCGTCTCCGGCCAGCCATGGAGGATATTTTTTTTAATTTCAAAATAATTATTTTATTTAAAATTATTAAAATAAACTTTAAAAAATATATCTTTTTAAAACAAAAAAAAAAATATTGTATTATTTTTAAATATAGTAATCGACACGTTAGGAAATAAAATCAAGAAAACATGACATACAGGAAGAGCCAAATGCTTAGTAGGATAATAAAAATAATAAAATACTCCCTCTGTCCCATTTTGCCTGTCCTGTTTACTATTCATTGGTCAATCCAACTCTTTCTTCATTGCTTATTTTCTTTAGTAATTTTTAATTATTTTTAAATTTGATTTTTTATGTTTAATAGTACTTTTAATGTAGTTTCTAAATATATAAATTTTATATACTAAAAATAAATTTAATATTATGAAAAAATGAAGTAAAAATAGCTTCAGTCAAGCCTCGTTAAACGAACCAGACAAACAAAATGGGACGGAGGGAGTATAAAATAAAATATACACATGGCAACCCAAATCTATTGTTAACCTTCTAAAAATACTAATTGCACTTTTTTTTTTTCAGGTCCATAGATGAATTTGGAGCTTATTCGTGTTAGAAATATGGAATGTTTGAGAATAGGGAAGTGAGGAAACGAGATCTTCAGGCGTGTAATCACTTTCCTATAAGGTTTATTCGTGTTAGAAATATGGAGTGGTTCCAAATCACTTTTCCCAACTTACTTTCTACCAAACTAAAATAATATTTACAACTCCACAACTCTAAATATTATTTAAGCTTTCATGGTAGACCATATGAAAAATTAATCTCCATTACTATATAAATTTCCAACATTCCTCCTCCATTTATATAGTAAAAATTAACATTGTACCAAGATAGATCCAAAACTCATGCATAAATGAAAGTGTCTTACAGATTGAACTTTCACATAGTATTATATGTGTTACATTAATTCGGATTGCAGTGATGGACGAACCTTGAATCACGCAGTCTCTTTGAAGAAACGTAGATATAATACACACAAGCTTTACAGTTACTACAACTTAAAAATAACTTTGACACTATTAAAGGCCATGTGTCCGTATCCATTCATAAGCATTTCCAAGCTAAACCCAAACTTGTTGAAGCGGTCACACTTCATGCTCACATAGGCTGATTTTTTATTTCATGCCCAGCACCAAGCATTTTTTCAAAAGATCAGTTAAGAGTAAAACTCATCCCTACTACAATGCAGACCAAGTACTTACTTTAGGGATACTTTTTAATATAGTACTTGCCGCCAATAAATGAAGTAATCATCTACATTGAACTCAAGGCTTAACGTGATAACTTAGGCGTGAGTTGAGATTTCTTTCATCTCTTGACTATCAACGGGTTTCAAACCTATCTCTTCCGATGTCTTTAAAACCATGTCCCTTGCCAAGGCTTTTGTAAACGGATCCGCTAGATTGAACCGGGACCGTACAAAGTCTAGTGCTACAACACCATTACTTAAGAGCTCTTTCACATAGCTATGTCGCAAGCCTATGTGTCTTGACTTGCCATTATAAACACTGTTATATGCTTTGGCCAGTGTAGTAGCGCTGTCACAATGTACTAAAACAGGTGACATCGGTTTTGGCCAAACTGGAATTTCAAGAATTAAATTCCTTAGCCAATCAGCTTCTTTGCATGCTGCTGCCAATGCAATAAATTCAATGTCATAGTTGAGTCTGAAATACAAATTTGCTTTTTAGAAGCCCAGGAGATACCACCTCCTCCAAGCAGAAATACTCATCCACTAGTTGAGAAATAATCTTCCTGATTTGATATCCAACTGGCATCAAAATATCCTTCAAGGATGGAAATATCTTTTGAATATTTTAAACCATAATTAATGGTTTTATTAAGATATTTTAAAATTCTTTTTAATGTCATCCAATGTACTGCACTAGTGTATCTACTCCGTTTCCCTACTGCAAAAGCAATATCAGGCCGAGTACTTGTCATTGCATACATAAGGCATCCTATCACTTTAGAATACTCCAATTGTAAGACCGGATCACCTTCATTTGGTATCAACTTCAATGAAGGATCCATTGGAGTAGAAACTGGGGAACCACTAAAGTGATTAAATCTTTTTAACACTTTCTCAATGTAATGAGATTGTGTCAAAATTTCACCATCCTGAAGTTTAATTATTCTTATTCCAAGAATAACTTCTGCTTCTCCTAAATCTTTCATGGAGAAACTGGAACTAAGAAAATCCTTAGTTTCCTTAACTTTTTCTAAATCAGTACAAAAAATCAACATGTCATCTACATATAAGCAAATAATAACCCCTTGTCCTTGGTTATTAAATTTGTTGTAGATGCATTTATCAGACTGATTTATTCTGTACCCATTAGCTAGCACCACTTGATCAAACCAATCATGTCATTGCTTAGGGGTTTGTTTTAAGCCATAAAGTGACTTAATCAATTTGCAAACTTTATTTTCTTGGCCTGCAACCACGAAACCTTCTGGTTGCTTCATGTAAACCTCCTCCTCCAATTCACCATTTAAAAATGCAGTCTTAACATCCATTTGGTGAACCACTAGATTGTGTATAGCCGAAATGGCAATTAACAATCTAATAGTAGCAATTCTTGCTACTGGAGCATAAGTGTCAAAGAAGTCAACTCTTTTTTTCTGCTTAAAGCCCTGTGCGACAAGTCTGGCTTTAAATTTATCAATGGTACCATCAACTTTCATTTTCTTTTTGAAAATCCACTTGCAGCCTATTGGTTTACAACCATTCGGTGGATTAGTTAAAATCCACGTATTATTCCCCATTATAGAATCCATCTCATCATTTATTGCTTCTTTCCAGAAAGCAACATCTTGAGAATTCATGGCTTCCTCAAAGGTCTTAGGATCATCCTCTATATTAAAATAATATAGATTTTTAGTCTCTGTAGACTCCCTTGATCCTTCTATCAAGTACATTTGGAAATCTGGTCTAAATGTTTTTTCTTTTCTGGTTCTTTTACTTTTTCTACACTTAGGTTCCTGCGAGACTGCATGATCATGAATTTGATCATCAACTTTGGACCCACTAGAACTAGGAATTAAATCCTTAGTTCTATTTATTGATGAAAAACGATTTTCATCAAAGATAGCATCCCGGGACTCATTACGGTATGAGCCGAAATAAAGTCATTTGGTTCTATAACATAGAACCAGTATGCTTTGCTGTGTTCTGCATATCCTATAAAAATACAGTCTATGCCTTTTTCTCCCAGAGCCTTCCGTTTAGGTTCCGGCAACCGTACCACGGCCCTGCATCCCCAAACTTTCAAATAATTCAAGTTTGGTTTTCTTTTGTGCCAAAGTTCATAGGGAGTTACCCTATTTCTTTTATTAGGAACTCTGTTGAGAATATAACATGCAGTTAGCATGGCTTCTCCCCAGAAACCTTCACTCAGACCGGAAAACTGATAACATGCAGTTTACCATTTCTTTGAGTACTCTATTTTCCTTTCTGCTACACCATTTTGTTGTGGTGTATAAGGAGGTGTGGTCTCATGAATGATACCAACAGATTGGAAAAATAATGGGTCATAATATTCACCACCTCTGTCAGTACGTAATATTTTTACTAACTGACTAGTTTGCAATTCCACCTCCAATTTAAATATTTTAAATTTTTTCAAGGCTTCATCCTTAGAATGCAGGAGGTACACATAGTAGAGTCTTGAATAGTCGTCAATGAATGTGACTATATATTTTTTATTTCCCAAAGATGGGGTGCTATGAAAATCACACAAGTCACTGTGAATTAATTCAAGTAAAATTGAATTCCTTTTTATACTAGGAAAAGGATTCCTAGTTATTTTATTTAACATGCATGCACTGTATTGTTCCATATTCAGATCAAAGGATGGAATTAATCCATCTTTAGCCATCTCACATACACGTTTATAGTTTACATGACATAAACGAAAATGCCATAATGAAGATGTACAAACTGAATACACAGAACCAACAATATTATTAATATTCAACTTAAACATATTGTTAGAAAGGAAGCCTTGGCCTACAAAGGTACTGGCCTTAGATAAAATAAATCTATCTGCTTCGAACACAAGTTTAAAACCACACTTGTTTAATACAATGCCAGAAACTAAATGTTTTCTAACATCTGGGGCATGATACACATCTGTGAGTGTCAACTTCTTTCCTGAAGTAAGCAACAACTCAACTTGTCCAATGCCTTTGACTTTCACCATGGAATCATTTCCCATGTACAGGCTTGGACCATCATTTAGACTTTTATAAATCTTATAAAGATTTATATCCTTGCAGACATGTCTGATTGCCCCAGTGTCAACCCACCACGAGTCATCAGTCTGCATGACACAAATTTCAGATATCATAGCAATGAAATTTTCAGTACTATCAGAAACAAGATTAATTGTTTTACCTTGTTTCCATTGGCCACTTCCCTGGCCATGATCACCAGAATTTTTACCTTCCATTTGTGCCTTTCTTTTCTTCCAGATTTCACAGTCTTTTTTAAAGTGTGGACCGTTGCACACACAGCATGATACAGATGCCTTTCCTTTTCCTTTTCCTTTCTTCTTAAACTTTGAAGAATTTGTGGCCTTTTCCCGGCTTCCCTTTTCCTTTACGGTTCCCACTTGATTTGCCTTCATCAACATAGTTGATGACAGAACCTGAAGCCCCGGTGACTTTTGCACTGCCTGCATTCTTACTTTCCTGCAGTCTGATTCCCTCCTCAACCCGAAGGTCAACCCCCCAACTGTTCCATGGTAAGAGCTTCCTTTTTATGCTTTAAGGTACGTTGTACCTTTTTCTAGGAAGGGGGCAACTTATCAATGATACTGGCTATGGCAATGGAATCATCCATATGCATATCATGTTGCCTCATTTGCCCAAGTATCCTGACAATCTCATGAAATTGTTCCATGACCGGACGACTGTCCACCATTTTATAATCATTAAATTCACTTACCAGGAATTTCTTACGGGAGGCATCCTCAGATATGTACTTTGCTTCAAGTACATCCCAGAGGTCCTTTGAGGATTCCTCATACTGATAAATATCAAAGAGGGTGTCAGACATACCGTTTAGAATATGGTCGCGGCAAGCAAGGTCATCATTCTCCCATTTGAGTCTCCGGCGAGTAGCCTCAAGAGTCTCATCCTCCCGTTCCTCCGGCTTTGGGGTACTTAGTACGTATGCCACGTTCAAAGCCGCAAGGAGGAACTTCATCTTCTTCTGCCACCTACGGAAGCCCACGCCTTCAAACTGCTCCAACTTAGGGAAGTTGGTTGCAAAGTCCAGAAGTCCAGAACTCATCCTTCCTCAGAAACAGAACTTTAAAGCTTATAGATTGTTAGAAATATGGAGTGTTTGAGAATAGGGAAGTGAGGAAATGAGATCTTCAGGCGTGTAATCACTTTCCTATAAGGTTTAAATCTCCCTTAACTGAAGCAACAAGGTTCAAGATTTAATCTTATGGGATACAAGAAGATGATGAAATTCTTAAGTTGCTTTGTTTAAGAATTTCCTGTAGAAATGTAGTACTGTGAAATATCTCAGTCTTATGCAAGTTTATTGCATGTATCTTTTTCAGACATTTCTCCAAGTATTTATAGATGCAAAATAGCAGTTTGGAGAAGTTAATGGAAGTTACTGGAGTTCAAAAACTCAACTTCCATAATCTTATCTGATATATCAGACATGAGAAAAATTAATTGTATCTTATATATTTTCATAAGATATGGACCTTCATAGATTCATGCACTACATATGAAATAACAAAGTAAAAATATATATATTATATATTTATTAACTCATTGCATGCAAACATGCAAAATAAATAAATAGGTAATATATATTAATACTTAAATGCATGCTGTAGACACAAACCAGAGAGCTTTTGAAATAAGCTTTCGTTAAATTCATTTGGCCAAAAGGTGCAAATCATTTCATGCATAGATTCGTGGACCTCATTGTTTAGGACGAAATCATTTCGTTTTGACCAGCGAAACCATTTGGCTTTAACCAACGAAATCAACAAAAGGGCCATCAACTTTCGTTAATTCATTTCACGCGTCCAGACAAAGCACGAAACCAAACTTTCGTTAAGCCTTTACCGAAACCATTTAAATAAATAACGAAATGTGCATTAACACGAATCAATTTGTCAAACTTGATTCGATACCATCGAATTGATTAATGCATTGATTCGTTAAAACTAACGATTTGTTAACACCAACGAATCATTAAACTTTGGTTCCAAATCACTTTTCCCAACTTACTTTCTACCAAATTAAAATAATATTTACAACTCCACAACTCCAAATATTATTTAAGCTTTCATGGTAGACCATCTGAAACATTAATCTCCATTACTATATAAATTTCCAACAATTCGAGTTCGGTGACTTAATGGTTATCGCCCAAATAATTTAACGGCCTATTTGTATTTTTTTCTAACGAAATATTCTCTTATAAAGTTTATACTAACAAGATATGAAGATATTCAATGAAGAAAATAATATAATTAAGAGTAAACAAAAATTATAAAAAATAGTAAAATCAAAATAATTTGAACTATTTATTTTATCAAACGGACATTTTTTAATTTTCGTTATAAATCTAAGTTTATTAATATTTATAAAGACCAAAAAAAAAAAAAAAAAAAAAATCGGACCTACCGACCTAATCAAACGATAGGTTACGAAAATCGGATCATAAAATTGAACCCAAACCCAATTTTTCGACCCATTTAAAAGATTGTCTCTCATCTGTATTTGTCTACATTTTCTCCGAACGGGCAAAGAAAGCAAAAAATGGAATCGGCGGGAGCGACTAACCCTTTACAGCAAAACGACGACGACGATATTCCGCAGCTGAGCTCTCACGCTCTCGAAGCTCTCAGAGAGTTCATCGCTGAGCAGAACCGAACAGTAGTTGAAGCTTCTTCGGGGGAGCAGCCGGAGGAAGAGGTGGCGTTGGTGGCGGAGGATTGGCGGCTCAGCCAGTTCTGGTACGACCGGGAAACTGCCGAGACCGTGGCCCGAGAAGTCCTCGCTCTTTGCGAGACTCTTGAGTCCCCGTCAGTTGCTTGCATTGCTTGCCCAACGCTATACGCCTACCTCAAGGTTCGTCTTTCAATACTTCTGATGCATCAATTGAAGCACGACGTGCAATCTATATGCTTCTAAAGGAAGCATTACTAGTGTATATTTTGATTTGTTTGTTTTATGGGAGAGCATGAAAGGCTTAATTCTGATAATCGTTATCAGCATATGAATTCATGCTCACATCTGTATAGGTTCTAAAAGATTGAATTCCCGCTTCTTCCAGATGCTAACCATCCTTTGATATGAATTTCGCGATACATTTCCGATGTGGAAGGGTAGAAAACCGTTTTCAGAATTTCAAATAAAAGTAGAATATATCTATAGAAGATACTCAAGATAGAGTTGAGTTAAACTTTTGAATGATGTATTACGGTCTACGGAGTATTATTATTTCTATTGCTGGTTTCTGTATCTATTGGAAGAGCAAAGAAGATGAGTAATCTGTTTTATATATGTTGCACTTGCTTCAGATCATGGATCCATTTATTTTCTTTAATGTTTGCTGATTTATAAATTATAGTATCGACATTTGCCTAATTGGTATTCAATCATTCTTTGCTCATGAATCAGAAAGTTGATCCTAATGTCAAAGCGCAGCTTCTTGAATATGACCAGAGGTTCAGTTCATATGGAACTGAGTTCACATTCTATGACTACAATAAGCCAGAAGATCTCCCCTTATCATTGAAACATTCATATTCAGTTATTGTTGCAGATCCTCCTTATTTGGTAAGATCCATTCATTTGAGCTATTTGTTATGTAGTAGTTTTTATCCCCTAATTTGGTTACAAACATAGCTAGCACCATACTTTTATGTGACTTGGCTTTAAGGACTCTTAGGATTTTAAATTCATTAAAACTAGGTGCTAAAGCAACTTTCAATTAGAAAAATGAAGAAATACAAGATTATTAAAAACAAAAAACTGTAAGATAAAAGAACTAAAAATAGAGTTTAAGCCAAACAAATCATTAAGTTATTACTCTTCTTCTTATTTATTTATTTTTAAATTTTTGGTTCATAGGTCCTTATATCACATAAATGGAGGGAAATCATGAATGGCAGCCTAAATTTATATGAAAAGCGATGTACGCACTGTGATTATAGAATTGCCTTCTTGAACTATTTGAGAACTCCAGATCTCTCATCTTTCAACTTGCTTTTGCCCTTGGTGTCATTCTTGAAATGAATTTTCCTTGTAACCTTGATTTATTCTATATTGGCCATTATAGAATTGCCCTTCGTGTTTAATAACTTGATGTCTGCAGTCTACTGATACTTCTTCGATTTTAGGATCTCTTGTTATTGACATTAAAGAAATAGCAAAACATATCTCTAACATTAGCTTTTTGTTTGCTAAACGTTCTGCGAATATGGCAGCCCATTTGTTAGCTAGGGATGCTATTTCAAAGTCAGATAGTTTGGAGTGGTTTTCCATTCCTTTTGGCTCCCTGTTTGATGTTGTTGTTTCTGACAGTTTGAACTAATGAAATGCTTCCTTTATTTTCAAAAAATAATAATAATAATAATAATAACTCGATGTCTCTTCTCTTTGGTTTCTTCATATATGTCTTTAACTTTTGCAATTTTGAATTAGCTGATAGATTATACAGTGGCTAAACATCTGTGGTCTTATGATCTTGTGGTTTTGTTGGACAGAGTCAGGAGTGCTTGGAGAAAGTTAGTGAAACTATATCTTTTCTTTTGAGATCCGGAAAATCATATCTGCTTCTACTCACTGGTACAGTGCTGGATCTCCCACTCTGAACTTGCTTTTGGTTGATTACGTTGTGTTTATTACCTACCTCCTTTACACGTTTAGGTGATGTGCAAAAGGATAGGGCGGCAGAGCTCTTGGATTTGCGTCCATGCAGGTTTAGACCTCAGCACAGTAGCAAACTTGGTAACGAATTCAGATTGTTCACCAACTATGACCCAGGGATGAGACTTGGTGGTTGGGAGGGTGAATGATCATAGAGCTGTGAGGGCAAAAGAAAAAATTTCAAAGCGCATCAATCATATTACAGCTCTAGACAAGCTTTGCATTTCTTGACAAATCAGTGCTTGAAAATTACTTGTTGTTGTGTTGTAAGCAGCAAAGCATCAACTTAGTTGAATTCACAGACCCATTTGTCATTTCACTAGCTCAGAATGCTTAAAACATAACATTTTTTTGTGCTATGTTGGTTGCTAGAGTTTGGTTCTTCATAAAGTCAGATATCATCTAACCTTATTGTTATTATTATCTGATCTCGTGATTAGTCGACTAAATGGGAATTTATGGTTACAACTTACAAGTGGTGGGTTGAGTAGTCACAGTCCATTAATGAGAAAAATGGTTACTGGAAAATTCCTTAAAATGGGTGGTCTGGTAGGATGATTAGTTTCAACTTTCAAGTCTAGGCTAACACTCTAACACCATCTCAAGCGGTTGGATGGAAAACTTATTGAAATTTTTTTTCTTAAATTTGAGGAAAAAATTTTTAATAGAAAATGTTTTCTTAAAAAATAAAGCACTATGAGCTTTAAAGAACACTATTATATACTGTGATGTATACTATAACTTAAGGTTATGTTTTAATTTAAACCACAATGGGTTTTTAACGTTTTTTTTTTCTTTTCTTTTCCATTTTTAACGTCAGAAAATTTCACTAACGAGAGGTGTGGTCGTGTTTAGGTAGCTTGTGACGTCTGTTTAAATAAATGTAAAGAAGCAACACAAAATAATAGTGGGCGTGCCGGAGTGGTTATCGGGCATGACTAGAAATCATGTGGGCTCTGCCCGCGCAGGTTCGAATCCTGCCGCTCACGCTTGTGTATTGTGATCACTTTTTGACCTATTTAGAAATGGTGATATATTGTTAATGACAGAAGCATAAACGTTTGGTGGGCGTGCCGGAGTGGTTATTGGGCTTGATTAGGAATCAGATGTGGACTTTGCCCGTGCAGGTTCGAATCCTGCTGCTCACGAAGGGTTTTAGCAGTTACCTTCTTCACTGTAATACAAAGACTCCCAACTAGTTGGAATAATGTAAATAAGGAAAAACTAGTCTCCTTTTTTAACTTTAATAATGAGAAATGATTTTAATTCAAAGACAAAGACATCGAACTAGATGGAATAATGTAAATAAGAAAAAATTAATTGAAATACATAAATAAGTCTTCAATTTTTTTTTAAAAAAAAATACTGTTATAAATTATTATATTATTTTTGAAGACATAAATTATATTATATTATAAATGTCTATTTTCGTTGGAATATATAAATAAGTCCTCCAACTAAAAAAGTTAATGTTACAAATTATTATATTATAAATTATAAATATCTATTTTCTCAACTCTTAATAAGTGTCTTTTGCAGTGTTATTGTAAATTACTTTTATCCTTCCATTTTTTTTAAAGTTACATGGGACTTTTCTTATCTTTAAGGCTTGTATAGTTGTATAAAGGCACATATCTTGGAATATGATAACCTTTTGACCTTTTCTCGCCAATTTTACTATTTTCCTTAGTCTCTCTCTATTGTTTCATATTTCATAACACCTTATCAATATGAGTGTTTTACATTTTAGAATCGTCATTTTTCTAAGGTATGTTTTACATATCTATTATGCTCATTTTAACATAGTGACTAGTACGTACTAATATGTTACTACCTCCGTCCCATTTTATGTGTCTTGGTTCGGTTAATAAAGCTTGACTTGAGTTATTTTTAATCTAATTTTTCATAATATTAAGTTTAGTATTTGTATACAAAATGTATATATTTAGAAACTACACAAAAAGTACTATTAAACACAAAAAATCAAATTTAAAAATAAGTAAAAAAATACTAAAGAAAATAAACAAAGAATAAAGAGTTAGTTTGACTCAATGAATAGTAAGTAGGACAGCTAAAATGGGACCGAGGGAGTATATGTTTTTGTGTGTTTACTACACTCATATATATGTTATTACTGCACTCATATATGTTATAATTTAAATGTCTACGATTTGTCCTTCTATTCTCATTTAGAATGTGTTCTCATGTGATTGGAAGCCTGTGTTCTCATGTGAATGGAAGCCTAGGCTTCCATTCGCATGAGAACACATTCTACATGAGAACGGAAGGATAAATCGTAGCTATTAAAATTATAGATTTGGATGGATGAGATGATTTCGGTAATATGAATATTAATTAATAGGAGAGTTGTTAATAAGAGCAAACACGAAATGTAAAATAGCAATTAAAATAAGAAAATTATTTAATTAGGATGTTTGCATGATTTTAGGAATGTATTTATGGTAGAATAGGATTCTCAACATCCATTTATTATGTTTGCATTATTTATTTATTTCTTTCTTTTTGGGGTTTTTTTTTTTATCCGTATGTATTTCAAGACTTTGATTTGTTTCGTATATCATTGCGTCATAATAGTACGGTGTGTGTGTTGTGCGCAACAACAAAAATAAGTACCTGGAAGGAAGCTTGCGATGCGTCGTTGGTTCAGGACAGAATTTATGGTAGCGTTCTGTGGCGTGTTTAACAACACTGTCTTAAAGATATTTAACGACCAGGGATATCGCTATATCTTCGACAGATAGCAGAGAAACAAAATAACGTAGTTAAAGTGGAACACGGGGAGGGTGGAGCGTATTTCTGTGTCCAGAAGTGAAGAATTCATCACAATTTATAGTAGCTCACCTCCTCTTACAGCCATTGCACAAACATAGGCCATGGATGGCCATAATCCACGCAAACAATGCTGACCACATGGGCTGTTCAGACAGGTCACGCAAATAATGCTGATCACATGAGCTGTTCGAACAAGCATTTGTGTTGATCCACAAAAATAGGAATCAAAAGAGGACCAAGCAATAAAACTATTCCACACCACACCTCGCACGCGTGCCTAACGTGCGGCGACGGCACGCGCGCGGGGTTTTCTCCTTGTTCCCTCTCCACAATACTTCAAACCTTCTAAAATGAAAGGCTAACAAAGCAATGTGGGACACTCATTTATGTTAAATGAGCATTAAGTGAGCACCCACTTAAAGCCTTAGCCTTTAAATGTTTCCCAACAATCCCCCACACATTTGAAGGAGTAAGGCTTAACGGAGAGCATCAGGGAGTAACATAACGGAGCTAGCTTTCATGTCAGTGTGTAAGACTTGAACTGACAAGTAGTGGCACTAAGTAATTCGTTACCCGAGAGTGAACAGAATCTTGAACTCTACGGTTAGTTGAATTTTGAACTTACGTGCCCTTCGTTAACTCCATTGTTTGTGCACTTCACATAGTTAGAGGTTTAACTATGTAGTAACCCTATTTTGTCTGTCTCAGCACAGACATTCAACTCCACCGAGTGTATTTTACCGTAGACTGCCAATCGTGAACTACGGCGAGCGGACTGATTTACAGTCTGCTTCTCAATGCGAGTCTTTCCATGATTTTGTTTGACCACCGAGGTGGTGTCCATCATGAATTCCTCACCTCATTGGCTTTAAGCCCATCTCCCTTGACATATCACGGATAGCCTTTAGGTTTAGGCCTTTCGTGAAAGGATCAGCTATATTCCTTTCAAATCTCACAAATTCCATTGTGATCACCCCATTCAATATTAACTGTCATACATACTCATGTCTGACTCTTATGTGTCTTTTCTTCCCATTGTAGACACTATTTTGTGCCACATATATGGCAGTTTGTGAATCACAATGAATGGGCACGGCGGGAGCAGGACTCCCCCACAATGGCACATCTGCCAATAAATTTCTTAGCCACTCAGCCTCTTGGCTAGCCAGATCTAAAGCTATGAATTCTGCTTCCATAGTTGATCTGACTATGCATGACTGTTTGGTTGATTTCCACGACACTGCAGCCCTACATAGTGTGAACGCATATCCACTTGTAGAGATTACATCTTCACTATCGTTTACCCAGTTCGCATCACAGAACCCTTCTAGCACAGCTAGGTATCCTTTGAAATTGAGACCCCAGTCTAACGTGCCTCTAAGATACCAGAGTATCCTTTTTAGTGCGTCCCAGTGTGGGCCACTAGGGTTATGAGTGAAACGACTAAGTTTATTCACTGCAAATGCAATGTCGGGTCGTGTATAGTTCATCAAGAACATTAGACTCCCAATTACTTTTGCATATTTCTCTTGAGACTCACCCGACTCCATGATTTTCGATAGATTGACACTAGGATCGTAAGGCGTCTTAGTCGGGTTTACATCATAACTGTCAAACTTCTTTAGAGGTTTTTCTGTGTAGTGACCTTGGGATAGAAGGTAACCTGTATCGGTTTTTGTAACCTTGATCCCGAGTATCACATCGGTTTTCCCTAGATCCTTCATTTCAAACTTTTGACATAGAGTTCATTTGGTCTCATTTATAGCTTCAACACCTTGAGCTAAAAATCAGCATGTCATCTACATAGAGACATATTATCACGATGTTAGTTTGGACCTCTTTAGAGTATAAGAAAGCATCTGACCAGTTAGTCGTGTAGCCTAGGTCCATTAAAGTCTTGTGAAACTTTTCATTCCACTGCTTGGGGGCCTGTTTTAGGCCATAAAGAGATCTTTTTAGTTTACATACCTTTCCTTCTTGCCCTGGATCAACACAACCAAGTGGTTGTTCCATGTAGATCTCTTCTTCTAATTCACCATTGAGAAATGCAGTTTTTACGTCCATTTGGTGAACTACCCACTTGTGAAAAGAAGCTAATGCAAATAGAACTCGAATGGTTCTAACTTTTGTCACTGGTGAGTATGTATAGAAGTAATCTTCACCGAATTCCTGCGTAAAGCCTTTGGCTACTAGCCTGGCTTTGAACCTTTCAATAGACCCATCTGGTCTAAGTTTTCTTTTGAAGATCCATTTGCAGCCAATTGGCTTGCACCCTTTGGGTAGTTTTACTAACTCCCAAGTGTGATTGGACTGAATAGAGTCCAACTCACTTTTGATTGCTTCTTTCCACTGAGTGGAGTCGACTGACTGCATTGCTTCCTTAAACGTTTTTGGTTCTTCTTCCAACACTAATTGGCACACAAACTGGTCACACATTTCGTTTAAATCTTTTAGTTTTGTGACATATGTAATGAAATCAGAACCAAAATTTTTCTCGATCCTGGTTCTTTTGCTTCTTCTAGGCTCATCATAATCGTTAGTAATGCTAGGAAAAATGGCATTATCATTTTGACACAAAGTATCAACTAGTGAGACAAAAGAAGTT